AATAGCCTCATTTTTTCTAAAACCGAGAATCGATCCCTTAGACTCATTTTAATCAGAAATCACCTTATATATAATCTTTCGCGTAGGCCTCCGTTGCTAATATAACTCTAAAGATCTTTCGAAGCTATACCAATACACACATAAACCACGTTATCGCTGTTACGAAACATAATCGATATCAGCTAAATAATATACTATAGAGAAGACTATATCAAAGTTACTTAATATTAAATTAGAGTTTTTAGCGTTTACGGCTCGATTCGATTCGAAAGCCCTTAATTAATTACATCGCATTATTCCACAGATATCCTATCCGCTTAAATACGAATTCGAAAATCATTATTATTTACCCCTACGCCCATGAGTATGATTTTCGCTATATCACACCGATTTGCTCCCGGCTAGGCCCTCTATATACGTATACACCCCGGCTAGCGACGTCGCTACAGCGCAAATATAAAAAGCTACTATTATTCCCAATACCTCTAACGAAGAAAGATATAATGCTAGAATTCCCGGATACAATTATTTCTTTACTACTTTTATCATTTTTCAGACGTTAAGCGTATATATATCTATTTTTCTATCTTTCCACTCACCAATTATAGGATATAATTTAACGAAAGGGGGAGATAGTGTTACAAGCGTATTCTTAATATACCCCTCAGCCCTATGGCTAGCGGGCCTTGGCGGAGACATTCTCTATTATATTATACCTTCTTCCCATCTATATAGTTCGATATCTTAGTTATCTTATTTAATATATCTATATTAATATTACATCTATATCGATTCTAATAATAGTAGTTATAATAGTAAGTAATAGTTATAATAGTAATAGTTATAATAGTAGTAGTTATAGTAGTAGTAGATATAATAGTAATAGCTATAATAGTATATCGAATAGAAATAGATACGATTAGTCGTTAACTAGAATAATAACTAGAATAGCTACTTATACTTCTAAATATAGAAATTCTAATAAAATATTTCATATATATATTATTTCATAATATAATATTATAGATATACTATATCGTAGAATATTCTATTAAGATTCTATATTATACTAGATATAAGATTATATAAATATTAATATTCTATATTATATTAGAGTATAATATAATAGATTAATATCTTATATTATATTATATCTTTTCGACTAGTAGTTAATAATAATAGAATTATCTCGAAAACTTCGAATTATCTCTTAGAGTCTTAAAATTTTTGAATTAATAATAGAGTTATTACGAAAAATTCAAATTAATAATAATATAATTATCTCGAAAATTTCGAATTATCTTTTAAAGTCTTAAAATTTTTAAATTAATAATAGAATTTTTATAAAAAATATAAGTTAATAGTAATAGAATTATTTTAAACTTTTTAAGATAATTATAGAGTTATAACGAAGATTTTATAATATTTATAAATTTCGAAAATTTCTAATTTTTATAGAAATATCTCGAATTTTTCGAATTATTAATAAATTAATTATAAAAATATATATATAATATAAATATAATAAATAATTAAATAATTAAATATATTTAAAAAAATAACGTTTATAATATCTATAAATTATAAATATTTTTAAAACTATAATATTTTATATAATAGATTATAATATTTTATATAATAAAATAAAAAAAGCTTTAAAATAAAAATAAAAATAAAAATAGAAAAGTAGATTTAATTTTATAATATTTTTTATATATATTAAAATATAAGAAAATAATAAATAAATAAAAATAAGTAAGTATATTAATAAAGAAAAGAATTATTATTTAATATATATTTAATATATATAGAATAGTTACTAATATCTACTTCTAGAGAATTTAAATTCTTTTTTAACTTGAAATTATTATTTAAAATTATTATTCGAAATTATTATTTATATCTCTACGATAATTTTAAAAAAAAAAAAAAAAAAATTTAGAGGCTATTTAATTTTTTATAAAAAAAAATTTTTTAAAAAAATATAAAAAAAAAAAAAAAAAAAAATTAAAAAAATTATTTAAAAAATTTTAAAAAAAAAAAAAAAATTTAAATAAAAAAAAAAAAAAAAAATTTAAAAAAAAAAAAAAAATTTAAAAAAAAAAAATTTAAAAAAAAAAAAAAAAAAAAAAAAAAAAAAAAAATTTAAAATTTTTTTAAAAAAAAAAAAAAAAAAAAAAAAAAAAAAAAAAAAAAAAAAAAAAAAAAAAAAAAAAATAAAAAAAAAAAAAAAAAAAAAAAAAAAAAAAAAAAAAAAAAAAAAAAAAAAAAAAAAAAAAAAAAAAAAAAAAAAAAAAAAAAAAAAAAAAAAAAAAAAAAAAAATTAAAAAAAAAAAAAAAAAAAAAAAAAAAAAAAAAAAAAAAAAAAAAAAAAAAAAAGAAGGGGATGGTTAAAATCTTTATTTGGCGCGCCTAGACGGTTACTAGAGCCCCCGTTGAAGGCCGCATTCGTCAAGATTCTCGATGTTGAAATAACGGCCAGCATCAACACCCACCCTGAATGACACACCTCGTCAAGAAAGCCACGCCCTGTCTGCCTCCACCACGAACATCATTCACAAAAGCTCACTCCCTCCTGACAGACCTTCCTCAAGATTTTGTATTTTTGTCAAAGTCTTGGATCTTCGAAGCTTCATCATCTCTTCTGGTCGTTTCATTGAGGCCTGCGACCCTTTCCACATTCACAAAACTCCAGCATGAAGCTCCGCAGCGAGTCTCGCACAGTGGCTGCATCTGAGACGCCCATTGCCTTCATGCTTCCCGCTACTCATGCAATGTATGTCAAAGCCAAAACAATACTGCGATATGTCAAGCTGACCATTGTTTCACTCCAGCACTGTCAGCAACGCCTCCTCCCCTCTTTTCCGTCTACCTCAAGAGTTGAAAGATCGCATCTATCATTTCGTGTACGGAGGTCTGCACATTCATGTTGAGAACGATTACAATTCCGACCACTCAAGAATCCGCCTAGCTGTTTGCAAGTTTACTAAGCAACACAATATCAACGATTGTGCAGAGGAAAAGGGGCTTCACGTCGCTTCTCTGGTGACATGCCGCCAAATGTACCATGAGGCACGGAGCGTGTTATACTCCGCCAACAGTTTCATCATCTCTAGTCCTAGGTTAGTCGATTCGTTCATACGACGCCTCAATGATACCAGCTATGACCGCCTCGCAGTGCGGAGTATTCGCCTTCACGTTTACGTCCACGTCAGAAATGATGAACGCGAATGGGACAATACGTTTCGCTTCTTGACACAGAATCTGAAGAATCTTCGATACATATCCATCGATGTAGACGTATGCCCCTGGGAATATTTTTCCCCTATGACGCGTCAACACAATCCTACTTACGCAAAAAGGCTGTTCCTTCGGGACCTAGTGGAGTTCAAAAAGTTGCCGTTGAAGAAAGTCGAGCTTGTACTTGAAGGTTCTGATATTCCGGTCGGCAGGGCGCGTGAGGACAAATACATATGGACGAATGCTCGGAAGCAAGAATGGGTGCAAAGCATGAAGAGCAAGATGCTGGGCTCCGGTTGAAGATAAAGCGGTTTGCAAAGGGCGACTTAGTGGAGGAGCTGGGGTTCTGGGCTCTCATAAGATAGGCTGGGTCCCGGGGTCGATGTCATTTACAGCATGAAGAATCCGGTTTCATGGAAACACCTGATGACTGAAGCTAGTGTGTAAGCAGTGACTTCATGACTCCTCTTCCACCCTGTGAAACTTGAACGATACAACACATCCCGACCTTCCAACAACACATCCTCCGACCCCCTCACATGCAAGCCCTTATGGCCCCTCGAGCACCAGCGTAATGATAGCCTAGCACTGATCGAGCGCTCACTCCTCCATACCTTGACCCACCAACTCATCAATATCCCGCTCCCTTTCCCCCCCAAAAAGTCCCCCCGCCTTCCAGACAGAAAATCTCTCCACATCCACCACGCGTTTCACCCTCCCCAGAGCCTTTTGCCTTCCCTCCCTCACCCTCACCCCCGCCACTACCAGACCCATCCTCCGAACAACCGAGGGCGACGAAATGGAAAGCACCAACAACGACAGCCCCGCGGACGTCTCCATCACATACCCCCCAATACAGCCCTCGGCGACGGTCTCCCGTCCACCGAAAACACCGCGTAGATCCCCAACGGCTGCTGCTGCGTAATCGGTACTTTCAAACGCGCCCGGCTGCTCGCGGACCAAAACAGTCACGTACGTACGTCAATCAACAGCGACAAATCATGTTCGGCAGAGCTCAGTCAGATGATATTCAGGTCGAGCTGTCGTACCTGGGGCGCCGGTGCGGACTCTATGGAAATGAATGGGGCGGGGGTTCTGCATGTGAGGAGGAGGATAATGGAGGCGCGGACAACGTCCGATGCTACCCTCGGGAACGAGCTTCGGTTCGGGCTGTTCCAACGACGTGGTGCAGCACGGGAATGATGCTTTGTAGGATGGATGAGATGTAGTTCTATCTAAGAGGTGTAGGAACCCCTCTATATAGGCACTGGGAACAATACTAAGCGTAGTGACCCCTAATCCGGTGATATCTACCGGATGCGGTGAGGTGTGAAGAGTCCTTTATTCAATATGCTTGTGAGTTTTTAGGTGGGCACGTGTGGTTGGTATAGGTCGGTGGGCATTGTTGCGAGCTGTTCGTTGAATCTTACGCGCAGCTTGATGATCCCCTTTGATGTTTCATGGATTGGCTTTTAGCTTGGCAGTTGGTTTATTGGGAATACAGTGTACTATCGTTGTCTTGTACAATAGAGACTAATTCAAGTCCCACGGGGGCGCAAATGCTAGTAGTCAAATGGTGTGCTTTGCCATTGAATGATATACATCTTTCGCGTACGACCATTCGTACTCCAATAGCGCAAACGAGAGGTGCCTATCGGAACGCGTTGTATCCCGTCTTCTCATGCCTACACTTGAATACAAGGCATGATCATCAAAGATACGAGCTGATCTATTGCCGACCGGGGACTAGAGTCATGGACTCAGATTCTCTCTGCCGGATGCTGCTCTCTTCTAGCTGTGTCCGATCTGTCATCATCCTCGGTGTCTGTGCCTCTGGTATCTAAGTTTGCGAGCGGGATGATGTGAGATGTTGAGTCAGCGTTTCCAAGATGTAGAGTCCCAGACGAGTCAGTGGTGGCCAATGCAAGGGGTGGCGGAAACCGGTATTTAGAGCCCTTGAACACACCATCTGTATATCGATTAACTACGTGACCACTAGAAAGCGGCTGAGAACGCTTACTGATTTCTAGATTTATAAACTCGACGAGGCAAGGAGCCCAGACCAAAACCGCTAAAATCTGCCCAAAGCTCCAGGTAAAATTAGTGATCGATCCGTGCAAAATCACGGCGTACAGCCAAAGTTGATAGCCTAGCGACAGTGACCAGGTAATAGCAAACAGTCCCTGGCTCAATCGGTTGCCTAACCCGCTCATGGGAAGGCGATCGCTCCAAGCGAATCGAGGCTGGCAGATCGACGCAAGTTTCGTGGCCCCCGGCAGGAAGCGATCTGATGATGTCCGGAGTTTCTTCGAGACACAGTATATCAACCACAGCAAGCTATGGGCCCACATCACCCAGATGACCTTATTGAGAGCTGTAGGATTGTGTCCAGAGTTTGAGAATAGATTGTTCGATCCACACCATGCTGTTGTCAAATTGGATGCGACAAAATCTCCGCAGTCTTGAAGGACTCCGTAGGCTGGATCGAAAGGTGTTGCATACCACGCGTTGGATGAGGCGGCTAGCATCCCGGTCGACAAGACGAAAACAATGGACGACAATAAGATCAAGTACCATGATTGCCGTCCGTACTGCGTGATCAGGGCCAAAGTGAGTATAGTCGGAACAAAGCCGTTAGTTGCTAGGGTAAAAAGAAGCCCCTCATCAAGCAGCTCAGGCGATGCAACCCATTTGATAGAAAAAAGTCCTCGTGCCGTAAAGACCAGGGCGGCAATTTGGACGGCTCCAGCGAAATAGCATTGGGTTATCTGGAAGTCTACCGTAGCCATCATCATTGCCTGGGTGTGCTTTTCTTGCCGGTGTCTGTTCACAAATGTCCATGATACTAGAAGAGACAGCACGATTGCAGTCACGATTGCAAGGCTGGACTGAACGATGAGGGATACAAAGACCTAAAGTGCCTTGTCAGTGCCTGATTGCGGTAGAGGAAATGTTGCCAGAACACACCCCAATTCCTCCAAGATCTGCATCTAAAGTCCTGGGAGAGCACAAGTCCGCGAAGCATGGCTCTGCCTCCAATGGGTATTGAAATAGAGCAGTGGCACTGCAAGTGTTTGGAGTTGACCTACGGTCATCGGTAAAAGAGTGAGTTGCTGCGTAGAAGGAGGCAAAGCAGGCGACCAAATTGCTTTGGAGTTGGGCATTGTAGGTGCCAAGCGCTCCGTCTATAGTCCTTACAGTCTCTGTGGCAGATAGGTTCAAGCCCACAGCTTCGAATGGGGTTGTGACAGGAGATTGACCAGTACTATCAAGGCCAGCAGTCACCGTAGCCCACAGACCACAGGTTACAAGATTTGAAGGATGTTGGGGATCGAACAAGAGATATGTATAATCGCAGACCACCGAACAGTTCACAGCTTCGCCTCCTATGCTGCCGCCATAGCAAGGTTGGATTGGCGGTAATGCTGCAAAGGGGTCAGTGTGGCCGGAAGCAGGACTCCTTATAGCAGTGCCGTAGTCGAACCAAGGCTGCAAAGAGGAATTGGACAGCATCGTCAGCCTAATGAACGAATATTGCGATGGTCTCGAAAACGCTTGTAATTCTTTGCTTAGAAGAAAGCCACGACAACTATTATTGCTCACTTGGCGACAACAGCATAAATCAAGTCGTGGCTGTATTCTTCACCTTGATACTGGCACGCATAAAGAAAGCTACCATTGAGGAAGGCCGCATCGATGGGATTGAGATTGCTGACAAGGAATCCGGGTGTGACACACAGGAATAAAGTGGTAGGATTTCGGATAGTCGGGCCAAGGTTGATCTTTCCCAAAGCCAGAGATGCTTGCGAAGACCTCGCTCGCAAAGATGTGGGACCATCCAATAGCTATCTGCTGCGCAGCACTCGCATAATGCAACACGTCATTAGATGCGATGCGATTCAAATTTTGATTTATAGCGAACCCCTAGTATACTCCTTCGATCAGGAATCGCTCTCGTGTAAGGATGCTTCGCGGAGCTTTCCCTATTTCCCACTTCACAAGATCACAGCCATGCCAGAAGCTTTGAGCATCAACCGATATCATTGTTGATCAATAGTCATAGAACCCCTTTCCACACTTCTTGCCTACCCACCCTGCATCTACCATCTTCCGTAACAACACTGCGGGCCTATACTTCCCATCTCCTGTCTCCTCATGTAGCACCTTCATTATCGCTAAACATGTATCAACGCCGATAAAATCAGCCAACTGTAGGGGTCCCATCGGCACATTCGTCCCATTCTTCATTATGTTATCGATATCTTCTTTCCTTCCTACGCCCGTCTCGAGACAAATAATTGCTTCGTTGATGTAGGGCATCAGTATGCGATTAGCAAGGAAGCCCGGTGAGTCGGCAGATTGTGACGGGATCTTGCCCATGCGTTTGCAGAATTCAACGGCTGTTTCCCGGGTCTCAGGAGATGTTTGCAGCCCACTTATTATTTCAACCCCTTTTAGTATAGGCACAGGGTTCATAAAGTGTGTGCTAACTACCCGAGACGCGGCGGCGAGATCTGTAGGATTGTCCGGTGTTGTGGTTGCAGAGGCTATTTTGGTGATGGAGATGGAGGATGTATTGGTCGCGAGGATGGCATGCGGTGGCGCTATCTTGGCAAGCTGAGAGAAGATATCTGTTTTTAATGAGGGTATCTCAGGCACAGCCTCGATTACGAAGTCGACATTGGAGAGGTCTTCCATTTTGGTAGTAGGCGACAGAAGGGAGCGGGCGGAATCTGCGTCTGACTGGGAGATCCGGTTTTTGAACACACCCTTCTCCAAAAGCTTCTCTACAGCTCCTGTCAGCGGAACCACCAGTATGCTCGTCTTTTGATGATCTTGTACCTGCAAATTTCATCCCTTTGTCCAGCGATGCTTGCGAGGTATCTACCAAAGTCACTGGCACTCTCGCCTTCTGTGCTGCCACAAGTGCGATGCCTAGCCCCTGATCTCCTAGAATCAGCCCCCAATGCCCATCTCAGAACCCAGCGTGCGTTTGCTTCTGCCTACCATTTGCCCAGCTCCGACTACTCCCAGTCGTTTGACTTCCGCTGCTGCCGCAAGACTTGAGCTCGTACTGAAGGAGTGTCGATTGACATTGCTGGCTAGATTGGCCAATTGCCGACCGGCGAGGAGGGATGTAGACATCTTAAAATATAAAAGGCGATTACCTAATGGCCACCCGAGTACAACAGTGAGGATTGAATGCTCAGTTGAGGCAGAATTCTCGGTGTCTTCGTGAGGTTGAAGCCAGTGGAGAAAGCTGGGGGGACGGCTTAGCAGGGATCTTCATGCCTCGGCAAACGCGTCCGTCGCGTCTCCAGAATCGCGCTGGGCCTTGGCACCACATTCATTGCCTTTCCTATGTAACCAGACACCAGCAACGCAATGGAGCTCGAAGAGGCTTCTCAAAGTACTGTGGACCCAGAAGTCCGGGCGTATGTCTACAGTCTTGTCTCCGCCGTCAGTTGAAATCTCCCAAAATGATTTTCAAAGCTAACAACACAACAGCTTGGTGGGACGGCGGCCGACGAAGACGGCCGCTATGTGCTTGGAGACGACGCGTTGGCATGTCTCAAGGATCTCAAGAAGTGGTTGAAGCTACACGATGAGAAGGCAAACCGATTGGATGTGGCAAGGTGTCTTGCGGAAGCGAATCTGGTCAAAGGAGATTTACTGGAGATCCTGTCAGCGTGGCCAGAAGCAGCAACGGAAGACAAGATCAAATCAAAGGTTGCGCTGGCATGTCTGGAACTGCTGGTACCCTTGACATGGCCAATTGAGAAGAACGACATTCAGATGACTGTGAACCACCATCGCCATGTACCATACCTTCAACTAGCACAGACATCATACAAGCGCGCAATACTCGAACATGAGTCCGCGACAGTGCTGCGAACAACGGTGCGCATTGGTCTGCCCTCAATCGCTCTTCCAATGGGTGAGCGAAGCTCTCGTGATGAAGGAATCATCAAGCTCCTCTTGTACTTCTTCAGAAACGTTGCCATGATCTCTCCGCCGCAGAACCTGCCAAACGAAGGTAAGGATGGCGAAGTTTCAAGATCTGCTACCGTCGAGGCCTTCCACCGCCAGGATGTCCTTGCTTTACTTCTCACAATCTCTTCGAACATGGGCGAAGACTTCAATACACAAGATACGGTTATCATGGAGGTGCTCTTCCATCTCCTTAAAGGCGTGGACGTGGAGAAGCTATTCATGGACAAGAAACAATTCAAGTCCAGGAACGATGATGACCTTAAGTCCTTGTTGGCACAAGAAGCTGGCATGCATAGAAGCTACGCAAAGAACGCCCCCACAAGACACAACCGATTTGGAACCATGATCTGGGTCAAACGTGACGATGCAGGGAAAGTCTCCACAGTGTCGGGCCAGGACGTATTGAAGGACAGTCAGCAAGCCCTGTCAAAGATGGACCAGACAAAGAAATGGAACAAGCCCAAGCAGCGAGTCAAGAACGAAGAGCCAGCTTACGACCGCTTTGACATGCCAGTGCCATTGACGGAATCTGCGAGTACTCATCTCCGTGCCTTTGTGGAAGAATTTCTCGATTCCGGCTTCAACCCTTTGTTCAACCATATTCGAAAGGCCATCGAACGAGAAGCCGAGCGGGTGCTTGAGGCCCAGCAGCAGCAGTTCTTCTACCTGGTCTCCTGGTTCCTCGAAGCTGAACGTGTGCGGCGCAGGAGGAAGAAAGAAGCAAAGAAGAGAAGAAGGGACAAGAAGCTGGAAGAGACCTTCGAGGCCGACAGCTTCGCACTAATAGCCACTGTTCTGAATCAGGAATCTTTTATCCTTCTCAACCGTTTCATGCAAGATCGTCTGGATTTGAAGTCATGGCGAGAGGTCCAAGCAGGTATGCGATGCTTTACCCAAATTCTCCTGATTGTCCAAGACATGGCGGAGTCACCGCTTGAGGAAGACCAGGAAATTGCAGAGAACATACAAAACCGTATCTTCTACGAAGAGACAACGCATGACAGAATCATCGCTATCCTCCGAGGCTACAAAGATCAAGGCTTCGGATACCTAGACTCCTGCACCGAGCTCTCACACGTCTTCCTACGCATACTTGAACGCTACTCTCGAGAGAACGTCGACCTGCAAGTGCGATCACGTCGGAGGGCGCGAAAATCAAAGAAAGCTACTGTAAAACAGCGTCAACAGACTGATGGAGATGACGAAGATGAAGCCTCTGAGATGGAAGATGTCGCCGAGGCGGAGCGAGTGTCTCGGGAACGCAAGTTCGACTTCACACGCTTCTCCACCAAATTCATGACTCAAGCCTGCATAGATACTTTCGTCTCCTTCACCAAATACTATACCGATTTGGACACCGAGCAGTTGAAACGTGCTCATCGATTTTTCTACCGCGTTGCCTTCAAGCAGGATCTCAGCGTCATGCTCTTCCGACTCGACATCATTGCTTTATTCAATAAGATGATTAAGGGACCTGAGGGTCTTGACTCAGCTGGACCAATGTTCAGGGAATGGGATGAGCTGGTAAGGCAACTGGTCAAGAAGATGATCAAGAAGCTCGAGCAGAGACCAGAGTTAGCAGTTGAACTGCTCTTCAGCAAGATCAATTCCACGACCTACTACCTCGAATACGGCTATGACAAGCAGACCACTTCCTCCAAACCCAGACCACCAGCTGCCCTAGAAGTGCGAGGGTCGATGACCACCGAAGAGCAGATCGGCGTCATAGTAGCAGTTCTTTACGACAACAAACTTGATCAGGTCGACTGGGTGTCCAGAACGCTCTCCTCCGCAGCCGAGGAGCGTCAATCCTGGGAATCTGAAGCCTTAGCTCGGCAAACTCAATCCCAATCCCGCCCTGAGCCCGACTCAGAAATACCAGCAGACCAGGCCGAGACCACCTCAAAAGCGCCCTCAATAATCGTCACACCAGACACAGACTCTCTTCGCACCGCCATCTTCAAAGAAGCCAGACTCCGTCTCCTGATGACCCTTTCTGGCATGGAACGTTTGGGCATCGAAGACGAGCTCAACGCTACCTGGATTATCCCTTCTTCTCTCACCTCTGCAGAACTCCGCCATACGCATGAAACAATAGAGCAACACCGCAAGAACCCCGTCTTCGAATACGGTGACGATGACCCCTTGTCAGCCGAAGAACTGCTCCGCCGTAAGCCTGCCGAGAGAGCTAAGAAAGCAGAGTACGACGATGACTCCGAGGGCGACGGTATAGTCAGCGATAATGACGCAGAGAACGAGTTCCTCTTCCCCTTCAGCGGTCCCGTCGACAGACCCAATGCTCATCACAAGGCCCTCGACGCACTCAAAGCCAAGCGCCGAAAGCGCCGTCACTCTGACCCTATCGAACTCGACGACGAGACTCTAGAAGCAAGACGCAAAGCGAGGGACAAAGCGGACCTGGAGAAGGCGAGGAAAGTCAAGAGTGCTGAGTTCATAAGGGACAGCGATGATGAAAGCGATGAAGAGCGTGATCGAGCATTCTTTGCAAGGGAGGAGATGCGAAGGGGGGGGCAGAGGGAGATAATTAGGGAGGCCTTTGCGGCGGGGAGGGTGAAGAAGAATATCGAAGGTGAGGCTGTCAAACCTGCAGCAAGAAGCACGAAAGCGAGCAGGAAGAGGAAGAGTGCTGGTGGTGGGGGAGAAAGCAGGAGGAAGAGGAGGAAGGAGGATAGTGGCTCGAGCGATGACGGAAGTGACAATGACGAGAACATGGCTACGGACAATGGTTCTTCCTCACCAGCTCGCCGTGCCGAGTCAATATCAAGTGCAGAAAGTGAAGACAAAGTCACACCGCTATCCTCGCCTCCGCTTGTTGGTCTATCCTTGTCATCGAACGGAGCCGGAGATCCAGCACATCTCGAGTCTTCCCCCTCTGAAGAGGGCGCCGCAAAGGTTCCTGCAATGGCTGTGGATGCAAGGGATAGGGAGGAGAACGGAGAGAATGAGGAAGATGAGGAAGATGACATCTGGATATCCACAGCTAGGAGAAGGGGGCGGGTTGCAGTGCTGGAGGATAGTGATGATGAATAAGATGGATTATTATTCACGTTGACAGGGCATACTGAAGGGTCTTCGGCCTTTCGAATAGGACTCGTGTCAAGATAGCAACTGTACAACACAGAATTTAGAACTTGACTCCCATTCAAGCTGAGGACGATACTTGAACATACTGCGGCTGGTCTCCTGTACAAATAAGCGCCTCGTTTGCTCCTCCAGACGCCTTCGACTTTGCCTTCACTTCTTCAACTCATTCTTCCACCTGCAAAATTGTCCGTCTCGGATAGCCAGTTATTGGGCGCAAGTACCGACCAATCTCCTGTTCTTTTTGACGCCCACCCCTTGAGAGCAATTCAACTTCTTGATCCTGTGCTCACAACCGTCGGCAATGTCCGCCCAAGCACAGAACCAATCAATAGCGCTGACACTTCCATCGCGATAGTAGGGCACGTCAAGATCATAGTCGAGTCGCAGCGCATGATTGCGGATGTTGATGAGGTAGAAGTGAAGGAGCATCCATTTCGGATAGTGGTTTTCCAAACGGAAGTAGTCATCGAGGAGCGGTTCGTAGTGGTACTCGTCGACGTCGAGACTCGAATGAGTTGACTCCGGGAATTGGTCCGATTCGTATTTCCAATAATGCCAGTTGCGGTATCCGTAGGACTGGAGGAGCCGCTTGTCGAGAGCTTTAAGCTCAGCCTGCACGGTGAAGGGATTGAGTGGGAACTTTTGGAAGTAGGGTTGCGTTTGTGAGGAGCGACAGACGTAGACAATCCAAGAAAGACGGTCTGGGCATCTGACCAGGCCGAGTAGAGCATGACACTGCTTCGAAGTCACAGCGAGCGACTTCTCATCGAAGAAATAGAGATAGCTCCCGATCTCTTGAAACATCTCAGGCGGGAGGATTTCCAAAGAAGCCATCTTGGAGCTCTCTATAGCTGGTTAGCCAAAGCGGTGAATGCCGATGAAGATTAAATAGGAAGTGTGGGGTCGAGAACACAAGGGAGGAAGACGTTAGATGGATAAAAAGTATATAAGATTCCCGGTCAAGAATTGAATGGGCTTATCCTAGATTCGATCTAAGGTCAAGGGGTTATGTCGTAGACGAGCAGGTGGTAGCTTCAGGGAGTTGATGTTACAGAAGATAGATTCAAAGGAGGATGACAGCGAAAGCTTGTCGAGGAGCGATGTTCAACTTCTGGAGATGGTGCTATATCAAGGGCTGCAATCCTGGCATCGTACCCAAGTCAACTCAAAGAGAGTGGGCTAGGAGCATTGATTCGGTATTTGTTGTATTCTTTACCACGATGCGAGCTCGACGACAATATCCTAGTAAGGCACCACAACCTCTCCATATCTAGCTCTCACATCCACCGTAACCCGTACCTGGCGGGTATTGCCCTGATCAAATCTCAGCAAACGTTGGCCCATTTCCCTACGAAGAGTGCCAAGCACTGACCCAAGACGCATGACTCTGCTTGCAAATGCTGCGACTACGGGCAGTAAGCCTTTGATTTTACATAGAATCATGGGGACATCATACTTGTTTCTTGCGATGAGAGCAGCAATGCAATCTCCACAGAGGGAAGCATGTCTCGTGTGTCCGTGGATGAGACAGCGGTGTCTTGCCCACACGAAAGCATCGCCACATGGTACGGGGCCGATCACGATGGTGAGGCATCTGGAAGCTTCCGAGAGGGTGCCGAGCTCTGGGGGGTCGAGATTGCTGATGATCTTGCAGAGAACCTCGTTGGGAAGATCTTCTAGGCGCGTTGATCTGGAAGACGTTAGTACTGAGTGATGTGTTATAGCAACGACTGACGGTGTATGAGCTTTATCCACTTTAGATATGCTGACATGTCCTAGCTGAGCGGCAATTAGCTCACTGAAAAGCTCCTGCTCGGAGCTTCTAGATATTAGTCCTGAGTTTGGAAGCAGAAACATTTGAACTGACTTCGTAGTCTGGAGGGTTCCTTTGCCCGCTGCTTCTTCAAGAATGGCCGCTTGATCTTTCTTGAGATACTTGTAAGAAGAAGTTCCAGTAGCTTGACGCTTCCCTTGGCCGCCCCTTCTTCTGCGCTGCTTGATCTCATATAAAATCTGTTCCTCAATGGAGTAACCGCCCCAAGGAGGTTTCTTCAGAGCATGACAGTAGCATTCCGAGTAATCGTGCTCCTTCATTTTTGCTGCCAATTCCTCCTCATCCTTCTTTTCCTTGAGTCTCTGCTTGACCGCCTCATTCCAAGTAGGCGCCTTGAAGGGAGACATCGTTCAGTAGTGTGATTGTGCTTCAACGGAAACTCCGTAAACACATACAAAATTATAGCACTTAGCCGCCGCAGCGAAGCGAGCTTACCGCCCATAGTGCTGATATCACACTCCTTCACACAGACTTACGATCTTTCTCACCAGCCCAGCTTGCTCCACATTGCTTTCCAGCATGGCTAGTCAACCAGAGGGCGTGGCTTACACTGTCAATGATCATCATAATGAACAGCATATACCAAACCGTCCACAGACAAGCCAGCGGAAATCCTCCTTCTCAGAAGCCCTCACCAAACTCACCTCAAATACCTTCAATAGACGGCGTACAAATACAGGCATCCCAAGCTCTACTTCTTCAATTGCCATCAACCACCATTCTCGCATACCAACTCCAGCGGGCATCGACCGTAGCACCTCATTCTTCAGCACCCTTAACACCTTTGCTTCCAAGTCCACCACATCTACGAGCGAGGAAAGCCCACAGCCACCCCTCACCAAACGCTCTCGCAAGATCTCTGAACGTTTAGCTCAGACTCCATTCTTCAGTCACCAGCATCAGCAACAGTGCGCCTTGACACCTAGAAATAACCGCGAATCAAGCGTCAAAATCGAGCAACGAGGCCTAATGCAGCCAGTTCATCCGCCGCTGCCTCGCAGCAACACGATCGGTAACCTCGGCCAAAGCCAACAGAGCTCACCTCACACGCCTGGCTTCATGCGTCCGACAACCAGCAGCGCTCGTCGTAGCAGCACAATGGGACGCAGTAATACCGCAGCACCTAGCAGCATGGCGGGGGGTAGCAGTATTGCAGTGCAATGCCAGAGGAATTCTTCTCTACGTACCATCACAGGCTCCAGCACTCCGAGCAAGACCCCAACACAGGCACGTCAAGTCCCAGCCGACGCGTTCCCCGCCCGTAACGACAGTCTCGTATCTGCTCCCAGCATGACAGACGGGCCAGGGCCAGCTTCCGAATCAGAGACTAACTCAACTGATTACAGCGATGGAGCGAATTTTCAGGTCACTAATCAGCATGCTGATGAGATAGTTATGACCAAAGAGAGCGATAACGGTAAGCCCAAGGCATCGGCTGACCACATGTATCAAATTCGCCGAGGTCCTCAAGCCAAAGACGCCAAGAGAGGCATCTTGAAGTCCAACAACAAGAACCACAATCTCAGCGAAGATCTCAGCAACCTCTACGTCGACGGCGAGGTGGATAGCAGCAAGGGGGAGCGCGATATCGATGAAATGAAGGCTCGCAGCGATCAAGGTACACTGGAGTATTCAGAACGTACAGGATCTCCTGAATCTTCGAACCCGCGTTTGGTAAGGATCTTCCCCACTCCACTCATTCTTATCCCCTTGCATCCTCTCCTCGTTGTGACCCCTCTGAAACCCCTTCCCCCTAGTTCCTCCCAGCTAATGCACCACCACCGCCAGATCCATGAAGCCCAGGCCCCCATGTGGTGGCTAGGCCGCTACACGGCCCTCTCAGACCGTTTCCGCACCAGTGCCCTTCCCTCCCCGCCCTCTTCGCCCTCCAGACCCCAATCCTCTAAAACCGAATTCTCCTCTATGAACGAATCCTCTCAAACTGGGCTTACCTCAGCCTCCAGCTCCAACGCAAACCACCCCATGCATGACACGGATCGCCGCAACCGCCGCGTCTACATCCACCTGCGCTCTCTCTGCACGACCGAGGAGGCGCGCGCCAGCTTGGACGAATTCAAGGGGATCATGGAAGCGAGGGAGAAGAAGATAACAGCGGGTTCGCAAGGCAAAACTGTGAAGGAAAAGCAGGGGTGGTTGGAGGGGTTGATGGGGAAGAAGAAAAAGGGGGAGAAGTGACGATCATGCATGGTAACAAGGAAACGGATTAGTGTTATAAGCCTCGCGGTAGTACAGGTTTCAGCGCATCTTACGACTCGACGGTGTCGTGCCGATGTTCGCGCATAGTAAGCGAGGGGGTTTCAACGCATGATACATGATACGAAGCATGCAGGTCACCGCAATGCATAATGAGAAAGGCGCGAACCGCAACGCACAACGAGATAGCTTTCTTCCATACTTACTGGTGCATTCTTAAGTCATACATTCAACCCGGAGAGACGACCACTTCATATGCTGTCATGCATACCTGTGATCTGCTCCTGCCGGCGGCTTCCTGCTTTGCTAGCCCTGCAGTCATCATTCTTGCCAGCATCTCCGGCGTCGATCTTCCAGTGGACAGCCACGATATTTGACCCGGTCCATGTAGCCTTACGCCATGGACCTGCATCGAGGCAGTTGTCTCACTGTCCGGCCCGATTTGCCTGAAGACTTGTAGATCCTTCCCACTTACGAACCTTCAACGGCATATCTTTGCCCGCCAAATGCTATGACAATTCTCTTCGTTGCAGCATGGATTCTTCCCTCTCATCCTCCTTTCCCGGACTTGTTTCTCAAATAAGCAGCCACCTGCTCATGCCTCGTGACGAAGAACTTCCTCTGCCCCTCATGCTTCCACACCAAGACACCGATCTCCTCCGCATACCGACAAGGTGCTTGGAACTCCGCCTGGCTATTGAAGTCTTTGAACAGAAACCCAACCGTCGCTTTCATTCTATCCCCTTCCAATTGCCATAGACGTATTTGATCGACCACCGTAGGCGGGAGGACGGGCTGATTCTTTGCCATCTGAGGATGCGCATGAGTAGTAAGGTAGCTAATTATTTGGTCGCTTGTGATGCCCATGCTGACAGCTCGGCGGATGGATTCGCGGGTTACTTTCCCAGCGACCATGTTGGGATAGCGAGTTATGAGGCGGGCGAAAAGCTGGAGGATGGCGATTTGGAGATTGGAAGAGGTGTAGGCGTAAACACGGTAGTTGGTTTCGATTACGATGAAGCCCCGATTGTTGTCTGCGGGGGAGGCGAAGGAAGAAGACCGTAAGCCACCGGCGTCGGAGGTGAGGGTAGTGGCCAAACGAGTTGGGTAGAAGTAGCTGGAGTCAGGAGAGGCTTGGTAGACGATGCCGAAATCACCAAGATCCTCCAGCATATTGGCTTGAGTCTGCGTGAGATTGGCTTTACTGTAGGGAAGGCCAAGTTCGAGGGAGCCGAGCATGAAAAGGAAAGCGAGGACGTCGACTTCATCCATGTTGAGCTAGTGGGCAAACGTCAACGCAATTGCTTGTGGAGAAAAAGAGTCCAGAGGATGTAGCAGGACCTACGCTTTCCGCATTTTGCAAATAGAGTATAAGCATCGTCCAGACCTGAGCATTGACTTCTTGGAGTATGAAGGCAAAGCCATCTTTTGTAATATCCACCGTCTTGCCCCTGGCTTCAACCAGTCTGCCAGATGCCAATAGTATCTTGACTCCTTGACTGAGCGTGACCCCTTCACTTGCGATATTCATGCCCGTGCTGCCGACCATGTATCCCAGAACGCCTTCCCACTGTCTTCTAGCAAACTCATCGAGGTCTGTTATCGACATAGTATCTTCCTCTGACGTGCTATATGGTACCCCAAATGAATGATGATTTCCACCTCCTGTCAACGCAAGCCGTAGAGACGCCGCAAACGGGTTCGTCAGAGCGTATGCTCGCGGCTTCCCTGGGTTCGTTGCAGCTGCTAGAATGTGGAGTCTTTCAAGAAGATTGACCGCGTTATCTCGTTCTCTTCAAGAAGTCAGATTCGTCGCAAAGAATAGTATTCTTGCGTACCGTCTCCCATCTGGGCGCACCCATGCTTCCAGATCTGTGACTGGCATAGGGTGGCTAATGTACAGCAGGGCCATTACAAAGCTCTTGGCTAAGCTTATCAGCACCAACCAGTAAGCCTTCATGTAATTTAGAGCATACCCAAATGTGGCAGCATGCGCCTGAAGATGGCGAGCGCAGTGGAGGGCTGCTTGTATAGGCGGTTAAATGTAGTACCTGGAAGACCCTCCAGGTACTCAAATGATCGAAGAGAGGACGCCGACATAGTGTCAATAGCAGACTTGAGTCGTCTCTTCGATGTCGTCAGATGTTACCTGTCTATCATGGCGGAAGCCTTGGATTGTGAGAACGGAGAAAGATTCGCAAGGGCGCTTGAGTCACCACAAATCGCAAAGGTTTTCCCCGTTGCTACCCTGCGCTCGGACCAAACTCCGCACCACGATTGACTACAATCTCTACCCTTTGAATTAGCGTGGACTGAGCTGTGCGATTTATGAGGGATGGCAGCTCTTAAATTCGTAAGATCGGTATGCAATAGCCTGCTGCGGTCTTCTAACCGTGGGCAATGAGCTGACACGAGCAAGGTGTGGGAAGCCTTTAGGCAAAACTCTGGTTTAGAACCCAGGTAACGCCGCCTTGGGAGAGCTCCCGGGGGTTCATGCTGATAGGACCCTTATGGAAGGCTGCTTGACGGAGTATGTTGTTCTAGGTTGTGCCAATTTCCTGCTCGGCTTTATGATAATTCTGTTCCCATCGGCATAAAACGAAAATAATGGCATATCTGCCTCTCTGCTGCGGTCTCCGTCGAGCACTATCTTCCTTGTCTTCATGGTTCTGCGTAGAATTCTGTCTGACTACCTGCCAGCTCCGAGTCACAGCTGCCCGACCAGGAACCGTTAACTTCGAGCTCGAAATCCAGAAGGAGCACACTGTACGATTGTTCCCAGCACTTGCCTTCCTCACTCTTCCAAACCTCCCCCACTAACACTAGCTCCCGTCAGAACCGTCTCGGCATCCTCCATGGCGGTGCAATTGCAAGCATGGGTACTCCCTCTCCAATTTCTTCCCCATGGCTTCCACTAACAGCTTCATGTGCTAGTCGACCTTGGAGGCTCATTAGCCGTTGCCTCCAAAGGGCTCTTCTCCACTGGCGTTTCCACCGACCTCAATGTCACGTACATAAACTCTGGCGGCAAGGTTGGGGATACTCTACGTGCAGAAGTCACATGCGATAAATTTGGGAAGACGTTGGCGTACACGAGTATAAGGTTCTTGAACGGCAGAGATGAGTTGGTTGCGAAGGGAAGCCATACGAAGTGAGTGATGCTTTCGGCGTTCGGAGGAAGAATGCTAATGAGCTGGTGAATGGGTAGATATGTGGCACTGGCATGGAAGGATGAGAACAACATTGTAGAAGAATTGTCCCCCCGAAAAGGATGATTGAGACAACGGTCTTGATTGTTTATTCCAGCTATTCTTGGAGATGTGTCGGAGTACAGTAGTAGCAAACGTGCCTTCCCCTTCTAGCTTCCATAAAGGCGCCTAAGACCCACGGTGCCTTTCTTGGTTGAATGGCAGTTATGGGCCCGGTTGCTATCGCTCATTCGAAACTTCAGCCGCTGGTGGGGCATGAAGTCTCAAATTTTTGGTTCAAGAAGGGCTTCCCTGGCGTAACGTGCCCACTCCTTTTTCTCGTCCAAAGTCCAGCGGTATTCTGCCTCGTGATTTTTCCAGTACGGTGAGGTGGTACCAATGTGCTGTTCCTCGGTTCCCTGGTCACTGATCACCATCGTCGCGGTCTTCAGCGGCAGCTTCTTGAGCGCGAGGACATGAGAGATGACATTGTTTGACCAGCTTGTTCCTTCTTTTCTCAATTCTGCCTGATTTCGGGGCCCTAGGCAGAAATGCCAGGCGCACCAATCAACGTCAATGCTGATGTTTTGAAGCCCCTTGAGCAGCTTTGCGCCAGTCGAGACTGCCCTTCCCCACGAATTCTCAAAGGTAGTCTCATAAACCATCTCAAGGAATAGGCTGCGGACCGCCAGATGGTTGTCATTGCTGCCTTGTGCCAGCGATACAACAAATTTTTGAAGCGTCTCTGGGTCGTTACACGAGAAAGTATTTGTCGCATGTGGGATATGATGAGCTTCATTGTATATCTGGCGGCAGCATCGCAATAGACTTAGGCTCAAAACCTTTGGTCCCTCTTCCCTATCAAGGAAGGTCGCGCCCTTCTGAAAGCGACAGCAGTCATGGCGGCCCTCGTTTGCTGGGGCGTACCACTGGTGGGTACTTTCACCGTCGAAGTTCTCCTGGGCCTCTTCCTCCGAGATCGAGGCGCGACAGATGGTGTTCTTGAACGTAGCCGTTCCCTTATCGGAGTTCTGGATGATGTGAACAAGATTGTCGCCGAACGTGGATCTGTAGATGAGGTTTTTGACCTCTAGCGGGAGCCTCAAGAGGGGCGATGAGGCGTTGTGCTGGGCACTAGAAAGGTCAGCTTCAGATCCGTACATCAAGTATGTAACCATAACTGACATAGCTGACTTGGCTATCGGATTGATATCGACGACACGGTCGACGTGAGTGCCGTTGCGTAGTTTCATCTTGGGTAATCAGTGCACAGGACTCAGACCTTTGCCGACCAGAGGTGTAGGAAAGGAAGACGCGAGATGTTTAAGTGGTTGCGGTTCACAGCCCGCCAAGTGTTGTTGTGTCGACTGATTGGGCGTTTGAATGAAGTGCGGTACGTCATTTGGTGTTAACAAAGTGAGCCTGGATAATGTTGTGGGCAGTCCTTAGTGCGATTACTTCCTTCAGAGAATTAGAGGGTCTTTTACAAGTGAGTCTTTTGTATTTGTGTGCTCTCTCTAAAGCAGTTCATATTCCCTCAGTGTAATCCCTCGCATGTCGTACACATTGAGCAAACTAGAACTGCCACCTTCCCCCATGTCACAGCTGTCGCACCCTCTTCCTCCGGAATCCCAGCTTTCAATCGGCTTGCTCTTTGCCGGAAGACTCTAACCCAAGCACCATCTTTCCAGCTACCGTGTCCTTTTCGACCGCCGTGGTTGAGGGTGTAGCGTGCTGATTGTCCTTTTGAAGGATAATATCCTTAATATAGCGCGCCCAGACCTTTTTCTCTGCAAGTGTCCAGCGATACTGGGGTATCAGGTCAGCGCTCATTTTCGCACGCCGGTCCCAAAGGATCTCCGCGTCACTGATCACAAAAGTTGCCCGGCTCAGCGGTAGCTTCCGAAGTTCTAGAAGAGCAGACATGAGATAATTTCCCGAACGGTGACGAGCCTCGAACTCTGCTGGTGTCCGACATCCGATAACCCCCGCGTGATACCACTGATTCAAGTTGATAGAGATTCGCTGCACAGCTGGGAGGCGTGGAATTAGATACTGTGTGATTGCCACCTGCCAAAGTCGCTCTTCGTTGAAGGCGCGGGCTGTGATATCAAGATATACACGGCGAATCTCCAAATGCTGTCCAGATCCTAAGTTTTTCAGATGGTTGCTGAACCGGTCAAGAATGCTTGTTTTGCTGAAACCGAACGTGTTTGTAGAGTACGGAATGTGCCGTGCTTCGTTATAAACTTGACGGCACGTTGCGAGAAAGCTTGTACTAATCTTTTCAATATGCTCTGAGTTGGTAAAGCATCCACTGTGGCGAGTTTCAACAGCGCCCACAAACCACTGAGCTGTGGTGTCGGCATTGAACAGATCATCGGCAGCTTGTTCTGATAACCCTGCTTGACAAATTTCATGTGTGAATTGGAGCGTGTCGCCAATCCAGCATTGGTCGAGATGAAGGAGCTGGCCACCACAAAGGAGCTCGTAAATTTTGTTCTTGATCTCTGGCGGTAGTTTGAGCAGAGAGGTCGAAGAGTTATGTTGAGCGCTATCTGAAGTTAGCACGCATGACTGTCTTGATAGTTTGGAAGTCTGACATGGCCGTGGTAGCGTTCGGATTCAAAGCTAGCTGCACATCGTCGTGGGTACGGCTCCCCAACTTCATCATACTGTCCGCCCTTGTCATGTTGGTCACATTGAGTTGCAGTGTGTATGGACTAGTGCCCTTTGTGTATAGGCACCGCATATTGTCGAAGTTTGTGACTGTGGTCACATTGAATTGTAGTGTATATAGGTAGGAAGCAGTGTCGCGACAGTCCAAATATTGACTGCTACGACTAGTTTCTTGGCAGTAGAACGGAATAGTAGACAACACTTGAAGTCGATCTACTCGTATATTTTCTTGCATTATCGATAAAGGAAGCTGTATTTGGACTACTGTTGACTCAGGCTCTGTATGCAATTCTAGGGAATAGTACTGCGAACCTCCCATATTCCAGGGTGCACACCTCTCATACTTAAAACCTGACCTAAACGATCGTTCTGCAGTTTGCGTGCATGGCTTACAATCAGTGGCTTTAGTAACTCCTACGAGGTTTGAAAGGGTACTCGTTCAGTCGTACTATTTGGGTGGTCATGCTAGGGTCAGGCCCAGATAGGGGATATATACCTCATCGATACCAGAGTGTGGCAGTCTTAGTGAGGTATACGCCTACATGAATTGGATCGTAAGATTCTGAGACTAGGTTTCACACGGTAGTTGTAGTAGGCGAAATTTACTGGAGGCGGATGAAGTAAATGGTTGCTTCAGCAGTCAGGCCTGGAGAAAATCACCAGCGAAAAGGCGTCTTCTTAGCTCCTATACTCTTCATTGCTTGATCTCACATACGCAGAGCTTGGAACTTGACGAGGGGACTGAGTCACTACATTACTGGAATAGTCTACTGTAAGCTTGAGCAAGAGATCTTAGCCGTGTAGCAACTCGGTGTATGTGAGTTCAATTGGATGTAGTTGCTTCGAACCTTCACTTGACCGCCATAAAATACACATGTGTGGTATCTTGAATCTCAACATCACAGTCCTGCTGGTTTTCCCATTAATTTTTCTTCTTCACATCTCCTCGCGCAAGCAAGGCGTCCCTAACTTCCTTCGAGAATTCCTGCTTTTGCCTCAAAGTCCAGCGGTACTGCTGCTCCATCTGATCATAAAAGTTCGCATAGTGAGGGTTCAGCGGCTTCAAGAACATTCCATCATCGATGACCAGAGTCGCTTCCTTCAGTGGCAGCTTGCTGAGTTTCTTGAACATCTTGCCCTGACGTTCCGTCATCTCAGATCCCTCATAGGCGCAGACATCGACAGAGCATGTACAATAAACCTGTGTCAAGCTGAGGTAGAGATGCCGGACAGATTTGAGACGCTTAAGTACCGCCTTGTTGATTTTTTCGGACCAGGCATCTACGCTGCTAACATGGGTGACACTGACGTCAAGGTGAAGACTTCGGATAGCGAGGTTCTGCTTATTCTGGAAGCGGCCTCTCACGAAGCGCTCAAGAATATCGTGGCAGTTGATAGCGAATGTGTTGTTCCTATAGTGGATCCTACTGGCCTCCATGTAAATTTGACGGCAGGAGCGAAGTAGAGTCAAGCTGAGCTGGTTGCGCTTGGGACCTTTCTCCTGCTCTGGTGGAGGTTTGTAACAGTCCCTATGTCGATCTTCAACTGAAGCAATGTTCCAGGCTACATCCGAATCTGCGGAGTCAAAGTCCTTCTGGATCTGCTCTTCGGAGGTAGGCTCGATACATATGGCGTGGGTGAGGTTCACGGACCAATCGCCATGAGCGTGGTTGTAGTCATTGTCATTTTGGAGTATGTGCACCATTTGCCCTCCACAGACGAAGTAGTAAATGCGGTTTTTGATCTCTTGTGGTAGCATCAGGAGAGGGGAGGACGCGTTGTGCTCAGCGCTGTAAAGGTTAGCAAGTTGCGTGAACGCGTGAGAAGTGAGCTTACATCGCTTGAGATACCTTGGTATTCTGCGCGATGCCGCCGTTGACAACTTGCACAACTTGGGCTCCACTACGCAGCTTCATGTTCTGAGGGAGATGTTAGTATACTTGTGGGCTTATGAATGAAGAGAAGAGGTCTGAAGACGATGTTTTCAGAGAGGTTGGATGTTGACGGAATTGGCGAGAAGTAAGGAAGGAAAAGGAAAGCGCGAGTTGCTACAGACGCTAAATACCCGAGAAGAAGTGTTAGGTCAGTGTTATGTCAAAATATTTCGAGTATATGGATGGAAGTATTCTAGACACAAAGATGTTGCTGGAAGTGTAGTTTTATCTGACCTACTCCCTGCACAGATGGTGTACCTTCTCGTATGTTCCTGTTTCTGGAGATTCGTCTTCAAGAGTGCTGAACCGTTCTTCCCGGCGTCGGGTGACTGCCCAGTCCTCATCCGCCACAATCACCACCAATGTTTTCAACGGCAAAAAGCGTAGCTGGTATGGTTCCCGACTAAATGGAATGTTGAGCTCATAATCGCGCTATATTGAATAACTAAGTAGGCCGGGTCAGCGATGTCCAGGTTCAGGTTGATGCATAGGCTCTGGACAGTTCGTAGGTAGATTGGAATGTGTCTGATGGCTATGTTCCATTCGTCGTGGTCGCTGCCGTGACGGAGCTGGATGCTGAGATGAAGGCTGCGAGTTGCAAAGCGTGGGTTGGCCGAGGACTTGAGAAGCGAGCTCGCGAAAAGCGGAAGAGCAGGTGGATTCCGGAAGAAAAATGTATTCGAGAAATAGAGAACGTCCTTGACTTCATGATAGATTTGGCGGCAAGTTTGTAGAATAGGAAGGCTAAAACTCTCCTGGCACTCGTGATGTCGACTACCATCTTGGCTCGATCTACTACGAAAACCATGGGTCTTATCGGGCTCCTCAAATGATTCCGGATGTGTTGCATAGAAGTGTTCCTGGGCTTTGTGTCTCAGATATTCGTGCGGAGCATAGAATGGTATCATTGGAACGCTTGCCTCGGTAGATGTGAATGAAATGACCACCAATAATATAACCAAAACTCATGTTTCTGACTGCCGAAGACGACTGGATGAGCGGCGATGATGCATTATGTTCAGTGCTGTCTTGGTATTAAGTCGTGTTGCGGTAGTGACACCTTTTGATAGCATTTACATTTCTTGAGTTGCCAAGTTCAAAGACTCAATCTCTTTTGACAATTTTCCATTGCGAATCTTCATGATGATGCACCAACAGCTGTATGAACGCGTGTACAACCACTGGGAAAGTTGAATATGGGATCTGGGGTTACACTGGTCATAGGAGTGCTCCGTATTCAGGTGCCCCAAGGACTGTCCAAAGATATGATCCAGGGGAAACATTGAGGCAAGGGATTCGCGCTTACCTGTGTCGAAAAATCCTTTATGGAGATATCGAACATAGCGAGCTTCGGCATATAAATAATCAGCAGACAGTTGGTGGGAATGGCAATAATAGCATGTAGATGGCTTGACCCAACGAAGTATGCCTGTTGAACGTGCTGATTGTCCAGATGTATAGGGTAAATGACCCATGTATACCTCTGACCCCTGGAGTTTCCTTGCTCCGTGCAATGCTAATGGCAAACCCTCCTTCCACCTTTTGTCTCCTCTGGAATACACCACGGTGATTCCCCAACTATCAAGACCCATACTTCATTTCTTTGAAAGGATATTTGATCGAATCATCCTTCCTCAAGTACATCTTCTTTCGCTTCTTTGTGACCTGGTGCTCGACAAAGACTTCCTTCGCATGCTGCGCCATAAACTTCCGAATGAATCTTGGATCCCATAGCTCGCTCGCCACACCGAGATCCTTGCAGCAGCGTCTAAGAGCTGTAGACTTGCATCCTTCGACTGCGGTGGGAATGCCTTCCGGCGAGAAGTAATCTTGCTCCCCGCGAGCGACGGATACGAGCCTGTAGAGAAGATGATCAGTAGAGTATCAAGCCAAGTATCGGAAAAGAGTGTGACATTTGAACTGTACCTTCCTAGTGCAACGAGAGCGTACTCCCTTGTCACAGCCTTCGCTGTCACGATGGTCTCTCCTCTCGGCGCCAAGCCCCATCCTCCTGGCCCAAAAGCCTGATTCAAAATCCTTCTATATTTGATCTCTGGAAGGTATATGATGCCATCCGGCTTGACCTCGATCTCATCTGGCTCTATAGGCGCAAGCAGCGCCTTTGCGGCTTCAGGCGAGAAAGCTTCACTGGAGAGACCGTGGAACGAGCGCGTCCAATCGACTTGGCGAGCGCCTTCGTCTAGAAAAACGTTTTGGTCATTGAGGCCGGAAGTCAGATCGCGTGTGTCGGGCAAAATTGATTCTGGAGGCTGAGGTTGTTGGGCATCGAGAGAGGTCGGTCTTGAGGCTGGCGAAGCTGCTTCTTGTTGGGCCCGGTAGACCCTCGTTGAGGTAAAAGCTCGTTTAGTTTCAGCCTGTCTTGTAGATCGTCGTGCAGCGTCTTCTCTACTAGAGTGGAGAGGATTTGAGGTTTCGCGTAAGGGGCTGGAGAAGTCTTGCGGGAGATGACGAGGTTTGCCTTTGCGCGGCAGTGCTGTCGTGAAGCTAACAGCAAAAGTACGCGACGTCCTTGAAATTTGTAGACACCAGGAAGCCCTCTGGAGGGTAAGGGTAGCCATGGAATTGGCTGTTTGGAGACGGAGGCAGGATTTTGAGGTTGGAGATAGTCGAGCTTGAACCCTGTCTTGGCGCACGCCAGGCGTTTTTGGGACGGGTGGCGAAATCTACAGAAATCTGATCACATGATGCGCTCTTGAACGCCGGCAGACACCATACTCCAACGAGTGTTCTGGTCTATTGATTGGGAAGAAATGATTTTGTTATTATAAGTACAGCGGCTGTGGTTTCCGCCAGATACCGCCGATCTAATCATATCGAAGCCGGCAATTGCGAAGTCAGTCTTGAGCGTCCTTCGTCTCTGTCCTCTGATCGTTCCCCTGCCTCTTCCAGCATTCTCTGAAGATTTCCATCTATATGTATACAGACCGGATCAGCAAGCTTCTCCTAAATGGTTTCGTTGGCTAGATGATTGGAATCCTTTGATGAAAGGCTACTCGAGCAGCAGAAACTTACCTCCTTCCTGCAGGTCCTCCAGTCCTTTTTATCGAAGTAGCAGTCATTCATCTTCGCTTGTTCAGCTTCAACGAGTCAGCCGCAAGGATAACGGGCATCGAGGGAGAGTCAGATTGCATCTGCTGTACCTGAGCAACCTGTGCTGAATATTCTCGTGTCCCTGACCGCCACAATCAGTGTTGGATCTTTGGAGCTTTGGAGCTTTGGATCTCTGGATTCTCAATATTTACCACTCATCTGGCTCGTCATCTTCTTCTAATCCCTGCGTCTCTTTGGTCTTTTCGGAGCTTGACATCGGATCTTCAAAGTACAGTGCTGCGGTTGAAGATTTGACTTTCACGATCGGGAGAAAACCTTGGCTCAGTGATATCCGAAATATGGCAACCAAACGGATGAACGTACTTGTCTATTCAGGTAAGATGCTGAACCGCTAAACATCGTCCATCGTTCTCATGTTATTAAGCTTACAGGTCCGTTCAGGTAATGGATGCACTCTAGAAGCTGTCCGACATTGCGTCTACAGTCTTCGGCGCCTTCTCTCACCCAACTATGCTGTCATATCTGTTGATGGAAATGCTATTATCAAGGAGCCCTGGACAGCTTCATGTGCTCTGCTTGTCTTTCCTGGAGGTGCAGACCTAGGCTACTGTCGCACTCTAAATGGAGAGGGCAACCGTAGGATTAGCCAGTACGTCGAGAGAGGCGGCTCGTACATGGGGTTTTGCGCTGGTGCCTACTACGGGAGCAAAAGATGCGAATTCGAAGAAGGCAACCAAAAACTCGAAGTCGTGGGGGACCGTGAACTTGCATTCTATCCAGGAACCTGTAGAGGACTTGCATTTCCTGGCTTTGTCTACCACAGCGAAGAGGGCGCTAGAGCCGTTGAGCTCAAAGCATCGAAGACTGGACTGACTAAAGGGTCTTTGCCAGATGTTTTCAGATCATACTACAACGGAGGTGGTGTCTTCGTTGATGCTCCAAAATTCCTAGAAAAAGGCGTCGAGGTCCTAGCGAGCTACACCCAGGAACTGAAGGTTGATCCGGGCGAAGGTACTGCGGCTGTAGTGTACTGTAAGGTCGGCGATGGAGCTGCCGTACTTACATCTCCTCATCCAGAGTAAGCTACGGAAGTGGCAAGCACATTCCTTATGCTTACTTCTTACAAGATTTGCTGCCGTCAACCTGGATCGCGATTCGGACATAGGTGGCTACGCTAAGATCGTGGAGGAGTTGGCTGAAGATGACAAACAAAGGACGGATTTCTTGAAAGCTTGTTTGCTGAAGCTTGGTCTGAAAGTCAGCCAGGAGACCACCTCGGTACCTTCCCTTTCCCGACTCCATTTGTCTTCAGTGCTTCCAAATGGGACTTCAGACATAATGGCTGGTTTGCAAGAGATTGTGTCTATCGTAGATGACGAAGAGTACATCAAAGATGAGAATGACACCTTCCATTTGGAGAAGCCCTCTGCATGGTCACTCGGCTCCCTAGCCAAGGCTCTGACTGGTGAAAAGAGTGAGAAGACTGACGATGGTGATGATGACGAGGATAGAATTATCGACTATAACACCGTCGTCAAGCGTCTAGTCGTGCACGAAAAGGAGCCTCCACCAAGCAAGGAGACCCCATACTTCAATCACGATGCCTTCTACGCAAACTTGAAACACTATGAAAGCAAGACCCAAGAAGCCAAGGATAGGTTTGGGAACAGTATATTATATGGGGAAGTGGTCACAAGCACCAACACCATGCTTGAGAAGTACAACAATCTCTCTGCTGCAATGAACGTAATTCGGAGCTAAAAAAAAACAGAAACACTGAGATACTTCGACGACTTCCAGCTGGCTTTACTGCGACCGCTACCGTCCAAGTGGCTGGACGAGGTCGTGGCTCCAACGTATGGGTCTCGCCTGCTGGGTCACTCATGTTCTCCACCGTCGTTCGCCATCCAGTCTCTTTGACTTCCCACGCCCCAGTCGTCTTTCTGCAATATCTTGCGGCATTGGCCATAGTGGAGGGCATCAAGGCGTATGATGTTGGCTACAAGGACATGCAGGTCAAATTGAAATGGCCTAATGACATCTGTGAGTGTTTGTCTTCATCTCTGGCCAGCATCTCATACTAATAGAACTAGATGCCATTGACCCCTTATCCAATAATCTTGTCAAGATAGGCGGGATCTTGGTCAATTCTCACTACGATTCCTCCGAGTTTCTCTCAGTCATAGGTATCGGCCTCAACACCACTAACGCCGCCCCCACCACCTCACTCAACGCTCTCAAGCCTCCCTCGCCCTTCACGCTCGAGAAGCTCCTTGCCCGTATCCTCACCACCTTCTCGGGGCTGTACAGCAAATTTGTTCAAACCGGCTTCGACAAGTCTTTTGAGCAAATGTACTACAAGCATTGGCTGCACACAGATCAGATCGTGACGCTTGAGGCCGAAGGAGGTGTCAGAGCTCGGATCAAGGGCATAACGAGGGACTGGGGGTTGCTACTTGCGGAAGAATTAGGCTGGGAGGATCGAGCTACCGGGAAGATATGGACGTTGCAGAGTGACAGCAATAGCTTTGACTTCTTCAAAGGGCTGGTAAAGCGTAAGGTTTAATGTTGGGGGCTGGAGATCCAGTAGAATACGTGTGAACCTGGTGAAGTTCTGCTTTATTCTCACCCGATACCTCCTTCGTGACTGCCCTGGAATCTAATGCTAAATACCCAGCCGGCTTCATTGTACTCAACGCGCAGCTTTTCTTCGGACAAGCCATCAGCAGGCAAGGTCTTCTTGAAACAGCTTTGTGGCTTGGAGGCTTTTTTTCGAAAAAGTAGGTTAGGACCACTTCGACTTCCTTGGCCCAATAACACTTCAATAAATCAATAATCGCCCCACCGACCCATCACATCGAACCAATCACGCTACCAGTCGCAGTGGTGCCGACACGTTCGGCAGGTCGCTTGACAAAGGTTGCATCAATGTCAAAGAAGAAGAAATCCTCAACGCGCTCAAGATCCAGGAACCAGTCGAGAGGCAAGATGAAGCTACGCAGTCATAGAAAGATCAAGAACGCAGGGCCCAATCTGGAGACAACCGCTGCCATGTATTTACTGGGTCTGAACCTTGTGGAGACCACGCTGACGAGAGTAGTACCACCGCCAATTCACTGACGCCACTTCTCAGGCTTCCGCAGGAAATGAAAAACCGCATCTATGGGCTCGTTCTTGGCGGCAACTTGCTGCACATCAAGCGAGACCTAATAAAATTCAAACGCGACGTCGTCCACTCAACCAAAGGAGATATCAAGGAGCGGCGCTTCACCCATCAGATCTGCTGCTCGCAAACTTCCGAGGAGGACGCTCAGCATCGCTTCGATGCCGAAGATGGCAGCAGCTTATACGTCAAGGGCATCGAACTGCGCCACTCGGGTTGCGGTCCTTCCAAGCGCAAGGGCAGCGCTTACACTCCCCTCAGGATGGACGTCAACCTGCTTCATGCCTGCCGCCAAATCTACAACGAAGCGCGGTTCATGCCCTACTCCACCAACACGTTCTCTTTCCACACGCCCCGCAATCTTCGAACCTTTATACACCTGCTCGTTCAATGCGGCGTGAACGTCAATACAGCGTTTCGCAGCCTGCACGTCGACATAGCTCACATCAATCACGATCTTCACGGATGGGGTCAAGCGTTCAACGCCGTCACGCAGCACATGACGCTACTCGAGAAAGTCTATATCAATGTGGATCAGCGACCCAACTGGTCTATTTGCGCCGACGCTGAGCAGAAGGAAGCAGCAATGAGGCCGGTGTTGGACTGCCTTGCGATTCTTGGGAAGACGCCGGCTAAGTCCACGATGATCGTTGTGAGCGACCGTCACCTTTCAAGAATGTCAGATGCAAATCTCGCGGGGGCTTCCACTGCTTGGATCTCGTGTCGCTGGACTGTGGAGGAGAAGAAAATGTGGGTCGAGGAGGTGAAACTGGCAATTCAAGACACGCAGTTCTTCGGTTGAAAGGGAGGGAGTGACAGCGAGGGACCCAGTTGAATGAGTTGTTGAATCAAATAGGTTCAAGATCGTTGATCTTGATTGCTGCTGTGTTACTATGGAGAGAGCATGGTACAGAGAAGAAGGTCACTAAGAAGAAGGTCACTAAGAAGAAGTATGAGGCATTCTATAGAAACGGAAGATTTCGTTCGCAACTATCAGACTTGGTTCAAGAATCTAAGAGCTTTCAAGCTCTTGACTAGCCGTAAAGTCCAATTGTTGAAGTATCGTACTAGAGCCACCTCGCGCGAAAATAAATTACCTAATATCCGCCTCTCGGTTTCCGTCTTCCATCTTCTACAGACAAGATCAATCTAGATAACAGGCTGCACCTTCCTCGCCGCAACGTCCTGCTACACTCGTCGACTTTACTACTATCGTCAGCGAAGTTCTCTGCGAGAACTTCTCTTCACCTACGACTTCCCTCATCGGCTTGACCCCTTCATAGACAACGCCGTGGTCATCCACACGACCGATCAGGATCGTTGCCCCACCACGATCGTACCTGTCTACATTGCCGCCCTCGACGCTGCACGTCTTCGATGAGCTCTAGCTTCCAAGACTTACGCCGTAGTGGTTAGGATGGAGCCGGACGACTCGGACACGTCTCTTGAGTGGAAACTCCCGGTGGACGCTGCTGAAATAAATCCGCTCACTCAAGAAATGTCAGTCAGGACTCTGGACTAGATGTATGAGTTGTGATCTTAGGCTGACATCCTCTATCATCAGCACTGCAAAGAACGCTAGTTCCTGCCTTCTTCGTTTACCGCAAGAACTTAAAAACCGAGTTTACGAACTGGTCTTGGGGGGTCAGCTCATTCACGTGCAAAGAAAACGAAAGGAGAATAAATTCTTTCACCGTCTTTGCCAAGCGAAGATTTCCGAGAAGGAAGCCTATGAAACATTCGCCGCGTCAAAGGGACTGTGGTTCTCGGAAGATATTAGAGATAGACACCACGCCTGTTACGATGTCAGCATGTTCCAGCACGACTGCTTTCGATGTCCAGGTCATTCTGACCCCCCAGCTGAACCTTATGCTGTGCTTAGCCTTGCTCTCCTACGCTGCTGCCGGCAGACTTACCGAGAGGCGCGTTCAATTACCTTCTCAGCCAACACCTGGTCATTCACATGTCCCTGGGACTTTCAATTTTTCTGCCTTTGCGGCATGGACGCACGAGTATCATTCATGAAAAGGCTTGCTATTCGCCGTTTGCATTTGGATCTTTCTATTTCCAGAAAGGCAGCGGAAAAAGGTTGGAACGTGGCGTTTGATGCAATTGCTAAGAATCTCAAATGTCTGCAACAAGTCTATATTGATATAGAACAATTGCCTTTTGCAATCGAATATCTCAAGGAGTGGCAATTCCAAGAGCCGGCAGAAAGCTCATTCTTGGGGAGGCTACGAAGACTGAGAGACTTAAGATTGAGGACCGTGACGGTGACGATCTCTGATTATCACATTTTGCACTCAGGTATGATGAACTTGACAGCCGAGGATGGGAGGGAGTACCGATGGACGATGGCGCAAAAGCAGAAGTGGGCGGGGCATATCAGAAGATGCTTGCTTCGTCAAGAAGAGCAAGAACCTGTGACTGAAAAGGGTGCTTGACCCCCGGGAGAGGTCAGGAGGCTTGTGCTTGACTTGTGCTTGGCTGGGAAAAGTGCTGTTCGAACGATGGTTATGTAGATGGTCTGACATTAAATCCCACAGTTGCTAGGGCTTATAGCACAGATCCGTTAGCTGAGAAGGAGGAGTTGCGGCTGGCTTGTACTATCGCTTTGTTCATCAAGACATATCAAGTTCCCGTGCTTATTTGCTCAAGTCTAAGGAGCGGACTACACAGATATGTCTGCGACTGCCATTCATATAGCCAACCAGATCCATCATCGTTTACAACCTCCTCGCCGGTTCAACAAGCATCATCGTAGGTCAGAGCAGGCTGATCACTGGCACGGTCTTCCTCCCCTTCATTCACAGCCTGCTCAACGACTGCATCCTCTTAATACATGGCCTTTTACCGCAACTTGAGAGACGACTTATTACTATCCGTGACCAAGCCTATCACCAGTCTCGCTCATACCCAGCACGGCGCTGACCCGTACTTCTACATTCTGGTGGTCGCCTGGGACCAGAGCAAACAGTAGGCCCATCTTTGACCCTGCCCACCTCCAGCGCCCAGATCATGTTCCCCTTCGTCCATCTCGCCCAAGTCCTTCCGTGCCGTCTCCGGGCGCATCTCTTCGAGGCACACGCTGGAATTCCCGCCTCCTTGCGCACTGTGCCGCCGGATCTACGACGGGGCAAGGCGCTTCTGCTACGCCGCCCACATCTTCTCTTTCGACGACTGGATCGTTTTCGGTCAAAGGTGTCACAAACAGCGAAGCCGGGTGTCACGTTTCCGTCTTCGTATCCGTAGCGGGGACCAATGGTGACGGTCCTTCGACCCGTGAAGCATTGTAGGACATTTTTCCGGCAAGCTGACAGGCTTGCAATGCATCCAGATCGACTTGGAACGGCTCCACTTCGCCACTTCTCGCAGGTACGACCAGGAAGCTGAGGAGTATTTTGCTTCGCAGAAATTACTCTGAAGGCCGCAGCGATCGTTCGTCTCGGATGCACGCTTCTACCACTTCAAAGATCCGGAAACCGCGCAGTGTCCCTGGCTGGGACGATGCTCGACCGCAGGGACTCAACAGGGTGGACCGTGACGCGGAAGCAGGAGTGTTCTTAATTTCTTCAGAATGCTCTACTTCAGGGAAGAGGCAAAGGAGTAGATATCGAAGGAGATACGGGCGGCGCAAGACAACTTGGGATCTGGTGGGACGGAATGGGGCGTGTTGAACACAGACCGTCTTGGCGTGCAGATGGAGGAAAATCCTCGTCAGAACAGCAGCATATCTGCTCTTGACATGGAAACATAATTTCCACAACCGAGGGGCCGCATCTTACATGGAATAGACGAGCAATGAGACTCTTCCCGTGGCTGACTCGGTTTCAGATAGGCGAACAAAGTCATTTCATTAGCATGCCTAGAGTCTATCCATCCTTGCAACCGATTCAATCACAGAAGCCAAAGGCGCGGATACCTTTTTCGAGCAGGCTGGACCGCACACACTGGCGAAGAGCTTCGGCCTGCGTCAAACGGGGAGGTACGATTTCTGCCATCGGTTATCTCAGTGGAGAGCAGGATGACGCTGATAGTAGAATCGACACGAATGTGCTCGTCGTTGCGACGGGATGTCACACCCGAGGGCATTGGGAACGGGCCGAAAGATCGCTTGGAGGAAGCTGTGGAGCTTTATCAGCAGAAGGGGATTCACCCGATTGTTGATAAAGTTTTTTTACTCTCGACCAGGCGAATGAGGCTTTGGGATGTGTAGCCGCAGGTGGTCGTTTTGGCAAGGGTGGGGTGGAAGTCGTCTGGGAGCTATACGGCACGTAAGTTGGTGACCTGATTTTCTCGGTACCACTGCGGTGACGCTTGTTATTCCAGCATCGATGAGAAAGGTGATGAATGCCATCGACGGAGGGATCAGGTTATCACAGCTTAGTGTCAAGTAGCAGGGTCACTTAACAAGGTCTACAGTATACTGAACAGCACTGTCACTGACACTATTCCTAGCTAGAAAGAAGATAACGTATCTTCAGAAGATTGAAAGATTCTCTTGCCACGACATTTAATGATTTCGTTAGAGCGGCGACAGAGCTATCGTACGATATATTCGATTCGCGGCAGTAGGGTGGGAGTACCTTTAGATTGTAACCCGTTGTCGGCACGATTATACTGTTCCAATCCAAACTGAAGTTCTTGCAGATGGGATTGCACACTTCAAGATGCTCAGGTTCCATACATAGTCTGATACCTCAAGCCTGTCCTTTCATCTCGACGTCGTTTGTTTCCTGATCTGCAGCTTCGGCGCCGGCCTCATGTATACGCTGTGCTATATTTCATTCTTGCTGTGTTTGCTGAGCCACAGTCCTACCTCGAGAGCAAGCTTGCCCGGTTGATCATACTGAACCAAATGCCCTGCTTCTTCAATGATGACCAGATGCTCCGCGTTCAGTGCCTTCTTCAACCTTTGAGCTGTTTCGACTGGTATCCAAGCATCCTCTAGCCCCCAAATAATCTTGGTTGGTGATAGACCTCCGACACGAGCATACTCGTTCTCAAGTACACCAGCGTCCCGGTAATGAGCCTGTACCATTTCTTGCAGGAACTTGTCGGATCCTTGCATTCCACCCGCAAGCCAAGGGGCGCTTAGCATATCCTCAATTTCCTTGGGCAATGACTTGCATGTCGCACTTTTCACATAGGCTCGCACAAGGCCCTCAACGAGGTTTGCCGGAATGGCCGTGAAGACACCCTCGTTCTCGGCGACGAGTTTGAAAAATGGCAACCCAAACGGACCAATCGCCACAACGTCAATGAGACACAAACTCGCAAATGTTATACTATGATCCAGAAGCAGGCGTAAGGAGACCAGGCCGCCGTTGTCATGGGACACCACGTGAGGTGGACTCGCCATGTCCCAGTGTTTGAACAGAGCAGCGGTCGCTTCGGCACGAAGGACGAGAGATGCATCTAGGTCGACTTTGTCATGATCCGCTGCATCCACCAAGCGGCGGTATGGGGGTGAAATGCCAAAACCTGGATGGTCATAAAGATAGATATTATAGTGAGTGGAAAGACTTGTCGCCAAATCCTGCCACACAGCGCTGCTCCATGGTGTGCCGTGTATAAAGACGAGAGCTGGTGAGGTAGTCTTGCCCAAGCGCGTCCATCGAATGTGATATTCGTGAGTCGTGGTTTTATGAATGAAAGTTTGGTCCAGGCTGTGTTGGTGCACCATGATTGCACATCGACGTGACAGCGTGATTGCCAGACCCACAGAAATTGTGGCATAGGGGACCTCGTGCTACCACCCCGCTTAGGTGGGGCAACGGAAGACCACGGAACCGCAAAACTTTAGCGGCTGCCTGCCTAATGTATAAATATGCTTGTGCTGGGCAGTCATGGCTGAACAATCACACTGTTCATCGGCTAAAGCGACACAGATCCCTTCCTACAACCTTCGTTCCCTCATCGCTGAGCGCCTGTGGCGTAGCCTGATCAAAGTTGCATTGCGGTCAAGATGACGATTCTCTGCAGCTTCTTACTGTACCTTCTCCATCCGCTGCGACCACGAGCACCAGTTTCGCAATTCATCGAGGTGTGTATCGACTATTTGAGTGTCAATACCCACTACGTCCTGCGAAAGCGAAGATAGCCGTTTGGAACGGTAAATGCCAAGACGACGCCGGCAAAGACTGCCTTGCATGATTGACCAATCACCAAATGCAAAGAATGACTTCCAGGGTTCAACCCCGCAACTAAGCCTTAAAAGCCGACACGTTTGCTCCGAGTCCAGATGAATCTTTCAGATGCATGGCGTTCCCCTAAGGTCGAGATCCCGCTCCATAGTACATCAGGTACTAGTACTACTATTATTACATTTGGATTAGAAATGAGATCCCAGAATATGTAAGCAGATTTCGCGTTCGCTGAATAATTCATTCAACGCTATTGAAGCTTCTTATAATCATAACCTGCAGCTCAACCGTCCCGGCCTGCCCCTCAATCTCCAGCAGCAGCCAACATGTCGGACACTCACAATATTGTCATTTTAGGAGGCTCATACGCAGGACTAGGCGTTGCCCATGGCCTCCTCAAAGCTCTCCCGGGCCTCAAGACACAAACAGGCAAATCCTACAAAGTCACCATGATCACCAATAGCACCCACTTCTGGTTTTCGGTCGGCGCCCCCCGTGCCATGTTCATGCCCTACCCTAAAGACATTATGGACTCCTTCATTCCCATCGAAAAGGGTTTCAAGCAATATTCCTCGGAGCTTTTCGACTTCGTACATGCAGAGATCACAGGCGTGGAAACGGACAAGAAGACGGTGCTCTACAAATTGAAGAACGAGAAAGAAGAGGTGGCACCTACTACCAACAACATCTCCTTCGACAGCCTTGTTATTGCAACAGGTTCAAAAAGTCCTAGCCCACTCTACAGCTACCAGGGTTCGCACGTACCTACGCTCGACGCCTACAAAGACATCCAATCCCGCCTCTCCTCCGTCAAAAGCATAATGATAGTTGGCGGTGGCACAGCCGGCACAGAGACAGCTGGAGAAATCGGCCACCTTCACGGCAAACAGACCTCATCCCCCAAAGACATTACCATTCTCTCCGGCCACGAACGTCTCCTCAAGGGCCTTCGGCCTTCCATCGGCCAGCGTGCGCAAGAGTTCCTCCAAGGGATGGGTGTCAAGGTCGAGCACAACCTTCAACTCACAGATAGCAACGATCTTGGCAATGGCACCACCAAAGTCATTCTGAGTGATGGCTCAACCCGCACCGTCGACATGCTTCTCGTCGCTACCGGCCGCAAGCCCGCCTCTTCATATCTTCCTTCCTCCCTGCTCGACGATCAAGGTCGGGTAGTGTGCGACGCCTACACGCGCGTTCCTTCGCTCAAGAATGTGTGGGTGACGGGTGATATGGCACAGAACTCTCCAGGTGGCATCATGTACATTAACTTCGCCGTACCTGTTACCGTTGGCAATATCGTCGCTGAACTTGGTGGGAAGGGTAAAGTAAAAGAATACAAGCCTCTGACAACGAAGGAGACGCAGTTTGTGCCGGTAGGACCAAATTATGGAGTCGGGGCGGCATTTGGATGGTGGATTCCTAGTGCGGTGGTGAGGATGGTGAAGGGAAAGACTATGTTCTTTCCGAACGCTATGAAGGTACGTATTTTCCCAGCCCGAACCCTCTTTTTGGAAAGGAACTTCGAGCCTGAAGACGTGTCTGGGGAGTATTACTTTGCAGAGACGTTTGAAGGCTCGGAACCCCTCTTAAGATGGCACTGCTGACTGCCAAATTCCTATGCAGACTGTCATGGGCACTGCCTAATGCAGCTGGCACAAATTTTCAAGCTCGTATATCTCCCTTGCTGTTGTTGCATTGTTGTCAATGGAAACGGGTCTATCGCGATTGCGTGAAAGTGTTGCGGCCTTCGATCTTCTAGCCATTTGGAGCCTGTCTTTGCGCGCTGTTTGCCTATACCCTGTTTCGTACGATAGTCATTCAATCCAAGCATTCTTCAATTCTATCAGTTTTCCGAAAAAACCCTTTCTATACGCCCAGCTAGTCAACTTCACGTCGACGTCCTGCCAACAGTAGCGACACCAATCTCTCCTTTAGTCCCTCGGTTAAAGTGTCAGAACGCTAGGAAAGTCAATCTGGTGGCTTGGCATTCCAGGTGACGACATTGAAATAGGAGGGTGACGAAATTTCGGCCTCTTGAATCACTCACTGAGACTACGTCCAGAAGCCTTCATTTGCTATATTTCTCCCAAATCCGTTGAGTCATTTTCTGCCATCGGCAAAGCAGTCTTGATAATAATCATCTCCAGCATGGCATTCCTCCCAACCACTCCAGGTCTATCCTTCTACTCTATCCCCCTCGCCTGGATCCTCTCCCTGGTCCCCCACGTCTTTGCAGTCAAAACCTACGAAGCAGCCAGTTCGAGAAAATTCGATAACACGCAACCGCGCAGCCTTACTAACACTGTTGCCTCTGATCAATCGCTGTCGAAGGCAACGAAGGACGTATGCCCGAATTTCCACAATGTCTCCCCCCTTTCCATTCAATCAGCGAGTGCTCGAGGGAGCAAGATGAGCATGAGCACGTTGTAAATCCGGATGGTACAAAAAAACAACGCTAACTCCACCCCCCCTCCCCCAGACCATCATCCGCGCCGAAGGAGCCCAGCAGAACGGGTTCGAGAACCTCGGCATCTTCGCCGCTGGCGTCGTCGCGGGCAACGCCGCCGGCTTGGACGCGGGTTACCTGAATGCGCTGAGTATGGCGTATATCGCCAGCAGGGTCGTGTACAATCTTGTGTACATCAATAATACGACCCTGGCGGTGGCGAATGTCAGGTCCGTTGTCTATGTCGGCAGCTCGGCGTTGATATTCACAATGTATGTGAGCGCGGGGTTGAAGATGCGGGAGGTGGCGGGGGGTTAGGGGATGATTGGAGGAGTGTTTGCGGGAGAAGGGTAGGTAGATGTGGGGTTGTGCTGGGTGCGTGTATGAATACCTGCCACGTCGGCCGGATAGGGTACTGGAAATCGCCCTGTGTTCGACACCAATTCTATCCCTGCGCTCCGGAGATTCTATCTATCCGACGTGAGAGGGGTTGTTTTCCCTGGCTTTAATGTGGTACTCATAGAAATCGATCTGCCTTGAATGGATCACTTACGTTTGCCACATAAGTGAAATACCGTCCTGCAATAATGTGCAGTGGAAACGCCGACATCCACAAAGCTTCGCCAGGACCCAGCAATACCTTAGCGCCGTAAAGCTCGATTATCCGTTGTAGAAGAGAAAACTAGCCCGGCGAACCACCGATATCGTCGTCCTCTTTCTACGATCTTGAATGGAGGACTGGTTCTCCGTGCTCAGAGGATCTTGGCCTTGCTTTTCCCAACCACGACTGCCTTTTCTGGTCCTTGCGTCGACCTCCTCTACATTGATGGTTTTGTGTGGAAAACAAACCCAAGTACCGCCATCACGCATCCCCAACATGCATTGCACTATACGTAAAAGGCCATCCCCCCCGCCTCCGTGATCTTCTCGCCTCCGGATCCAACTCCAGCCTTCGCCAACGACGCTTCCAACCGAGCAACCCTGCCCTTCTCCGTCCTCAGCTCGCGTTCCAGCTCGGCGGCCTTCCCTTTGGCCTTTTTCAGCTCGCTGTGCTGGCTCTTCAGCTGCTGTTCCGCATCCTTCCTCGCTTTCATATGGTACGCCAAGTCTGGCCTGGCCTTCCTCAACTCGCGAGCGTCTCGCTCTGCGGCCTGCAGCTGACCGTGTTGGCTACTCCATCTTCGGTCCGCTGACTCTTTTGCACGCGAGTGCTCTGCGACTTGTCGCTCTGCGGTGGCCAGGTCTGCTGTTAATTCGGTATTGCGCCTTGTTAGCTCGAGGATCTTGGGGTCTCGGACCGGAGATTCGGTGTTGTTGACTGGCTGATGCCCGTTTGTTACCGCTGATGATTTGGGTCCTGTAGAGGATTCGGGCTCCGATTTATTGGCTCCTGGACTATCAGCACGGCGAATCGAAGAGATAAGAAGCCTTCAGGCACTCACCGGTCTGGCTACCTGAGCCGTCAGTTTCCGCCAACCTGACGGTCCTCTTCTTCTTCGACTGTTGACTTTGGCTCTCGCTAGGATCGGCTTTGGTGTCACTCTCTGCAGAGATCCCGCGCTTCTTTGACAATGTTTCTGGAACAACCCTCATTGCTTCCTCAAACTCGTCGTCCGTCACAGCTTTGGCCTGTAAATAAGCCCGGTCAGGTACCTCCCAAAACATTCGCAGGCAAGGACGTACCTCTTCCGTCTTTGCCGTAATTTCCGCCTCATTGACGAAGTCGTAGACTTCTCTGATCAAAAGGCGCCACAAACGTCTCATTAGCTCAATAGTCAAAGACTTCCCCGGATTGGCGGCTTTGACTTTCTTCGCAAGTTCCAAGAAGAAGACGTGGTAAAGCGGCATGAGCTGGACTTCTGGAAGGATATACTCCCAATCATGGTTACCCAGAAGCACGACTCCCTTGTCTTTCTGCTCCTCGTTACTGAGTTGGCGAGGAAAGGACCAGAACTCTGCAGAGCTCTGGCGCGCCCTCTTGGCCTTGAAGGCCTCGGCATCGAGTCGTTTCTGCCAGTAAACCTCATACTTTGGAGAATGCGCCTGCTGAGCATAAGTATCCTATCAGGAGTGATCGAACGGCCTAGAGTTGTTCGATTACCTGGCCAATCAGACGGCGCTTCTCGGGGTGGTCCGTTGGGTACAGCCTCCATATCTCGTCGATCCAGAAGAACTCCACCACGCTGCGGGTGATTGACTGACCGAGTTGTTCATTGTTCTTGTAGAACTGGGTCGTGAAACGAATGATGGTGTGTTTTCGCCCTTCCAGATGCTCCTTTGTGCATCTCAGAGGTCGGATGCGGGGGTCGAGTTGGTGGACGAATGATTGGTAGCCGGCCGTATCGTACATCGGTACATCCGACATGATGACGGCGATTGGATACAACCGACTCGCACAGTTCACCTGAGTGGGCAAGGAATGGCAAGACTTGGTATCAGTGATGTCGCGGAGAAGCTGGAAAGGTAGCGGCGAAGAGGACGCGGAATTTTCTTCAACACTCTCTTCGCGTAAACAGCCGCGCCATCGCGCTTCATCCAGCTGCAGTAGAACCATGCAATAGGAACAAAGTCTGTTCGGATTATGCTTTGACCCTACAAGGGCACTCGGATGGATTCGTATATTGCATGTTTGTGATGATGTCTTCTGTTCGCTATGTAGCAAGCCTCCCTTTCTTACAGGAACATCCAATCGTACAATAATATTAAGCTAATAGCTATCAACAACAGCGCCATACCCTCCGATTCCGCCACCTAGCACGAACTTTGGATCCCTTTCGATACTACACATGGCACATGGACTAGGTAGCCAAATCGTCTGCTAGTCTGAAGCTCCCCATCATCCATCCCCCCAGCCCTCCAATGCCTCCGCCAGTTTCGCATCCCGCAGCACCAACGACTTCCGCCAGCTCGCCGCTCCCGGCCACCTCCTCCCGCAGCATGCGATGCAGCGTGTCCCTCTCGTCCCCGTACCTGGCGGCTCTGGCTTCGGCCGCGCTGCTCAGGTTCACGTTTTCCTCGGCGTCGGCGCCGCTCGGGTCTCCCTCAGCTTTGATGTCGCCCGGGTGTTTCTCCTTCAGCTTCCGTCCCGCCCTGGCCCATCGACGCCGCGCTCCCATTCTGCGCCTTCCGGGCTCGAGACCGCCGTTCCGCCAACCGCGCCGTGCTCTTCGGCCGGCCCCTCCACCGCGCCGTACTTTCCCCTCCACGCCTTCAGCTCCTGCGCCGTACCGTTTTCCGAGCGGGCCCTTTTTGGGCCGTTGACGAGGGTGGTCCCCGTGGGCCTTTTGGTGCGCTTGGCTTCCTTTTGCGCAGTTCTTGGCATGTGCTTTTTTCCAGTCTTTGGAGGTCGGCTGTCAGGGCTCGGTTCTCGGTTGTGAGGGGCCGGTTGGCGGTGCTGAGAGTGGCGTCGGCGCTGCGGTCGTCGTCCCGCTGGCGTTTGGCAGCGTTTCTGGGTTTGGAGGTATTCGGCGGCTTTGCGCTCGGCGGCGGCGGCGGCGGCGTTGGATGGGGCGGTGATGAATGGTGTCGGGTGGGTTGCTGGCCGGGGTTGTGGGTTTGAGTTGTGTTGGCTGGGAGGGAAATTGTGCGGGCGGTGGAGGGAAAGGGCGAGGTGGTGGCGTTGGGGCCCCAGATGTGAGTGTTCGGCAACCGTCCCGTGGCCGGCTTTGAGGCTGTGGCTTTGTGGGGTTGGGGGGATTCGGGCGTGTTGTATTGTCAGATGGAGTAGCTGTTTGATAGATCGTCGGAAGGCTGGTGAGAAAGGTTCCCTTTTTCGATCGTCCAGCCCCCAACCTCGAATCCCATCCCAGGCCATTTTTGCGTCTGTCAGATGGACTCTTCAAAATGTCGCGAACCGCTCCTTCCGTCCCGACGACAACCTTGGAAAATCCGTATGTCAGTCAGTCATGGCCTCGAACGCCTACCATGTTCGGCGGTGCGTTATTCCACTTCTCCGAACATCCGCTCGCTTTCGCATTCCTGAACGAGCATCGGGCTTTTGAGCCGTATGGTGAGGTTTGGGGGGGGGGTACGACTTCACACACCTGATGCTCGTGGTCCCTGTTTACATTTCCACGTGAGGTGGCTACTTGAGTCATCGTCGGTGGAGCGTCGAGGGCGATCGAGGGTGGTGGTGCGTTTTGTTCGCGCTGTTGAGACGGTTCGCACACACGCGTTTGGAAACCCACCCCCCCCTACCGCCGCGCCCGTGGGGACGTTCGACATTGTCAATTTCTCACAAGACTCCTTGAGCGAGCGGGATGGGTTGTGGTACGCGGAGACGGGGTGTGGCACCTCGGACGCTGCTCGGTCGGTATAGTGCGTGAGGGCTGCGGTCACTTCGTTGGTCATGTTGGTCAGTGGTTGTTGGTGCGGGATCAGGGGTGTTAGTGTTTGGAGGGTGCGGTGATTGTTTAACGCTGCTGGGTCCGTGGCGGATGATGGTGGTTGTTGTGGGGAGGTCGATTTGGGTCGTTGAGACGATGGGTGTCTGCGGGGTTGTGTGTCGTGGGTCAGACGCTTGGGGTCGAGGGAGGTCTACTGCTGAGCTGGGGTAGGAGGGCAGGGAGCATGGATGGACATGATTTGGGACGAGTGAACCGACGACGGAATCGATGCGGGGTCGGGAATTATATGGGATTGAAGCAATGGGGGATAGATTACACAGTCTTGGGGATTCCGCGCCGGTGTCCCTGCGAAGCCGCAAAAAAAATTGCTAGGATAATCATACAAGACAGAAGATATTCTATTTCACATTCTTCGGCCGCCTTCTGACCCTGATGCCGATGCACCGCCGCAGCTTCTATGGCACAGGATCAAGCGTACGCGCTAACGGCACTTCCGATCTGCCCCAGCGCCCCACCCGTAGCGTCGTCAACGCTTTCTTTGTCCGCCTGGTCCATTGTGATGTTCTGCAGAGCGAGGGAGTAGTTCTAGACGGTCTGGGTTAGCCCATGGAGCGATTTGGCGAGTCATGGAGGCGGGGAGACGTGCATTGTAGTTGTCTTCGAGGAAGGTCAGATTTCCATACACCATGGTCTTTTGGTCGAACATGGCGAGCATCTCCTCTTTGGAGATCAAGTCGTTCATGAGTTTGGTCAAGGCGTTGGAGAACTGGTAACACGCGGAGAGGATGTGTGAGTGCGTCAGGCTATGCGTCAGGGTATGGTGATACTCACACTGGCGAAGGAGCTGGTCACGCTACTTTCATCGCCGCCGTCCCCTGTGGGCGTCACTTGTCCGGCATTGGTGACGAGGTCCGAAAGAGCTGAGTTGATCCCTGCAAGGTCTTGAGTGGCTTTCTAAGCGACCGTGGTCAGTCCTCCGTCCGTGTGAAGTTGGACAGTACGTCTCACGGGAGCATAGTCCAGTCCGTTCAGAGCGGTGAGATCATTGACGTCGGTGTCGGCGTTGGTAGCCTGCTCCTCGAGATTCTCATTGCTGGCGACGATCTGGGCGAGGTTGACGGCGGCCGAGGCGAAGGCAAGCCAGAAGCAGAGGCTGAGGATGATAGATGTTTTGGAGAACATGGTGTCTATGGTGTAGATATCGAGAGGTGACGATTGCGAGTGGAGCAGGGACACTTGGCTGGCAAAGCGAGCAGGTTTGGTAAAGACTGATGAATGATCGTTTGAGAAGAAGATGGTTGCAAGAAGTATGGGGTAGCAGGCTTTCTTTATAGTCTCTTTATGTTGGAGCACGGCGAGCTTAAGAAATGGCAGGACCAGACATCACTGACAGAAATTTACTGGGCGCAGTGTAATCGGTCCTGTCCCTTTCGGTATCCATTCCCTCGACGCGATATCGTCCTCGTCCATTTCAGTATTCATATCATTTGGCTTTGGTAGTCGCGCATATTGGATTTCCAACGAGTTTAGCCAGTCGTCGAAGAGGGTGAGATGACGCAGCGCGAATCACATGATAGATGCAAGTTGTAACCTACCGGATTCAGTCGCCTGCAGCGTTAGGAAGTCCACATCGGTCCACGACCTGGTCCTCCCACCTGTGAAGCTGTCAAACCCAGCGCCGATCCTTTTTTTTTCCCAGACAAAAGAGAAGCTCATCAGATGATAGATTTCGCTGCACAAATAAGGGGTCAAAGCGAAAAGAGATGCGAGGTGCAAATCTGATGCAAAAGTGTCACACATGATGCAGAGAATGATTGGCATCAAGTGATAGAGAGTGAAGAGATGGGGGGCGCGTAACTGCGGGCTCAATTTGCAAAGAGATACAAGTAGTATGTATGTTGTACCTAAGGCTTCATGCACTCCTCTCGGCCCGCGACTTAGTATCCTATGTACCCGGAGCTAGCACGCCGCCCCTTTTCCCTAAAGCGGACCCCGGAATCTCTGGAAAGGGTTAGGGTAACTGCAAGTGCCGCTTTCGGCAGCCCTGCTCCAGAGAGGGCTAGTCACTAATTTGGGGAAGTTAGCTGAGGGGCTTCCATCAGGTTTGTTTGACAGAAGAGCGTTATCTGTTTTCTAGGGTCAGCTTTGTGCCTGCATATAATGACTCCCGAGGGGAGTGGTGCAAAGCACTCTACCTTACCTTAGGTAGCCCCCAATGCAAAGCTAGCTCCGGGTACCTGAGCTGGTTTCCGCTGGCGCCTGTATCTATATCCTCCGAACCCTCTCAAACCGGCCTCAACGTCTGCAAGCAGGAAAGATACTGGACTCAAGTAAGGTATGGATATGAGTACGACTGTTTGTGCTTCATTCTGGCTAAGGTTTGATTACCCTAACTCTAATTCCTTAAACCCCCGCAGTCCCCTTTTCTCCATATCTTGGCTTTACGCATGCATTATCGACCTTGACATTCTAATATTATTCATTCAATCATTCGTCCGTAAAGAAATGAGCGACCCAAAAGAGAAGGGGAAAAAATTTATAAATCAAATCGAGAATTGCAGACAGGCGATGGGGAAATCGAAGGAAAACATCTTGCAATATCGATATGTGGCGGGGCAGGTAAGGCGGCGATATTTGTATTGAATTATGGAAGCTGTGGAAGAGAACGGAAGCCACCGAGAGGCGTACCTAAGCAAGGCACACGACTTTCAGGCTTGCTCCCCTTACTGACATACATTGTGATATCCTCCGCAGAGGCGAGGAGGAAGCCGTGGTCAACAAACCCTAGCACGTTACCATCACCGTCGCTATCTTCCGAGGACGGAGTGCTGTAAGCGCGTCCGTGGTGATGTTGGGCGATAGATGCTACGCCACCTTAGCTCGGAAAAGAAGGGGGATGCATGTGATGAAGCGGTGTTTCAAGTAACGACTTCACGTACATGTGACCATGGATCTTGCTCCTGTCCACACTGGCAGACTTCGTCGGCTTGGTCTCTTCAAACATCTCCACCAACCAATGCCTCCGTTGCGCCGATTTACCCTAAGCAAGCGACTCCTTTCACTGAAAACTCTCATAGACTGGCTTTCTGCCAGGCTTCTTTCGTCTAGCGACACTTTCCTCTTCTTCACGCACCCCTGGATTGACAGCATAAATAAGAGTTAGTGGAACATCTACGAAGATATGCTCCAGGTCGTAATCATCGCAGGCTTTACTATCATTATGGCACGGGGTACATTTTGAGTATGGTGTGGGGGTGAAGCTGGTCCCAGTGCTATCGAGCAGATACCAGGTTATGGCATGCCACAGGACCATACTCCATAACAATCGGCTGAGTATACTAGCTTAAATCTGATCTATGACGGTTCCCCGCCTCTTCATCTATCCTGCTGCCCCTACACTTCCTTCCGAATCTCCCTCCTTCCCTACGTCTCGCCCGCGATTATTCCCATTCTTGCTATAACCGTGGGACTCCCTTTACTCCACACGCCCAGCAACCCTCAGGATCCTCCTCTCTCGTTGGAAAAAGGCCATTTCGTGTTTGAAGCCATAATGCTTGTGTTCACAAAGGAGGTCCGCCACCTTACCGCTTGCCAGATCTATCATACGGTGGACGGAGCACCCAGCCGTGCAGTTTCGCTTGACTGCATTGGTGGAACGCGACAAGGATATCTTGTTTGGGAGGCTTCGTGAACTTTTCTTGCTCACTCTCTGAAGGCCCGTTCGTTGCTTGTTGTCTTCCTCCGCGTTTGCGCTGCCGTCCTCTCCCTTCCATACCCCGATACTGATCCTCTTTTCATCTTCACCGATACTATCTGCATAAGCATCCTAGCCTGTGTAGATTGCGATATCTAGAGGCTGCGTGGTGGCCTCGACGGTATCAGTTGGGTGAGTCTCCCCTTGGTGCCTCAAGAGGCGTGGCTTGGGTGGGATGGCTTTGCATGTTCGTCACTCAGAAGCCGTGCGTCCTGTAGACTCGAAGGGCTTCTCACCGATACCAAATGGTGGAGAGCGGTATATATGTACATTTATTGAGCCATCAAAAATTGAGAAAGCAGAGGCCAAGGCGTGTTTGCAGTAGAAGTACTGCTACATAACGAGTGTTTACAAGAGGAAGGTGGTAGAAACGGAGAAAAAGGAGAGAACGATTGGGGTATGAATGCTTGGAAGTGTCAATGATTCATTTACTGGACTCTGCAAGTGAATTGAGTCGCAGTGTTGAAGGAAGGTGAATTGTTAGCGAAGGTGATTCTTTGCAGTTATTCGTGCAAAGAAGACTACACCAAGAGCAAATCATGGCGGAGAGGCACATGTGAAGCTTAAAAGGAGACCGTGTTTAATAGTCTTCATTAGCGAGACGAAAGATTCACACAAGCATGATCAAGGCTTCTTCATCCACCCGCTTTTTCCATTCGCGCTTTGAATCTTCATTCACGCCTTGTCTTTCCCCCAAGCGAATCTCGGATATGC